GATAATATTCGAATGTATGTATGTATGTGTGTATGTATGTATTTATGTCGTGCCTACACTCTTCGACTCTCGTCAGTTTGTTCACTGTCACGGCTCATCATTTTCAACTGCTGCATGTACAATACATATGTATGTTTGTGTAGATTGTATGCTGAATTGGCTGTCTGATCATATTGTTGTTGTTAACTTATTTTCCTCATACTTTTTCTGTTTGCCATTTACTGCTTTCGTTCAAGTGATTTTTGGTGTGATAAACAAGCAAAAGTGTTGGCAGATAATGATCAGTCGCTGTACGTATGGTACATACATATATATGTATGTACATATCCATATATGATGCCAGCTGGTGCCCCTGCAGGCAACTAAACAGTCAACCAACCAATTTGGCGTCCCCAATAACTAAGCGCACACATACAATACATATGAACATAATATTGTATATATGTACGTATATAACGCTGAATACCCCTATTTATTATGAAGGTGTATTCAAAGTTCGTCGAAATTTCGCAGCACTAAAAATCCCTCGCTCAATTTCACCTGAATTTAATAGGTTTGCTGCTTCTTTGTCTTTTTTGCTCTTTTCATCTGCCTTATTGTTGTTCTTTTCATTACACTCTGTCCCTGATAGGTAGGGCGGTATGGGAGTATGTGTGTATTAAATGATTTTTGTGTAAGGTTTACTATTTGTATGTTCATATGTATATATATATATATATATATATTTATATGTATGTACGTTAAGTGTATGGGTACTTTGTCTGATTAGGATATTGGTGCTGATGTCATTCAATTAATATTTTTATAAGTATGTATGTATGTATGTAGGTGCTTACATTTACATAAGCATAAGTATTCGAATACTAAAATATATATTTGTCATGTCATAATATCAATAAAATTGAATTTTAAACCCTTCCAATGCGGGCACAATTCTCTGAAGCTGAGTTTATGGAGGAGCCTTCGGGATTTAATGGCCCAACTCGATGCCAAAAAGAAATTTTATGCAACTTGTTTAGTTGAGAGATGGGGCCAAATGTACGTGGAAAGTAAAATTAGCAGTAAACTGAAGTAAAATTAAAAAAATCGTTTTTATCTTAAAAAAAAATCTCCTTTAAATTGAATTCACTCCGTCATTTCTTTGCTAAAAAAGAAAGTTTCACTGAGTGCGCGGTCATGACTGAGAGGGTAGTACGGATAACTATTTTTTCCTATTTTCACGAACGTTTTAAGGATCACGATTTGGGAGCATGTATTTGGAATGTTCGGCATCCGTAATTGGGAAGGTGCCGCTTGCCAGTTGGTTGATGTCACTGTAAGACTACATGCTGACTTTTGCTACTTTGAACTTTGGCGGAAGAAGGGGAAGGGTAAGGCCACTACTCCGTTTTGAGGATCAGACCCTACTTAGGGAAGAAAAATTGTGGAAAATAAATGGGTAAAACTGGAAACTAGTCGAAATATATTGAGTACAAAACTAGCTTTCTTCCCATAGCGGCATTTCTGACTCTTAACTTTTTGTTATAAAATTTTCATTTAACGGCTACAGTTTCCCACAGGTCTGAACAAAGGATTTCAATATGTAACTAGATAATTTTTTTCGGAAAATTAAATTTCACCTCTTTCGTAAAACAGAAAGTAAAATAAATGCTGTCATCAGGTTTAGACAGCGTTCAGGTATAAATATTTTTATTCGCATTGTAAAGATAAAAAATATTTGTAATAAAAATTAATTTTAAGCATTCAATTTTCATCTACAAGATTTAGAAAGTTTTCTAATGCCTATTTAAGAGAATGACATTGCCGTGTTATGAATTTCTGAATTTGTTTTCCTTTATGCTTTTGTTTTTTATGATGCTGCGCACGATGCTCATCATTTCGTCTCAATAAATTTATCAATCAAAAAAAAAAAAAAAATAAAAAAAAAATTCTCCATTAACATTTTCAGAAAAAAATCTGAATTTACCTATATACATATATACATACATTGACTTTCTTGCTGGGCGCACTCTTGTGAGATAAGCCGTTTATCCTGTCGTGTCCTTATCGAATGTCTCTGTCAAAATTCGCTTACTCACCGCACGCAGCCACTAGCAAAGCCCATTGAAATTGTACCTATGCTCTTGCGAGAAGGTCTACGAATTCACACATATACATACTTACCTACTTACAAACATACATACATACCTGCCGACCATTGATTGAAACTGAAACAATTTTCGCAAAGAAGACAGCTGAAAAAAAAAAAATCATAAGAAAATGAAATTCGCTTCGGCGTCATTGCAAAGCATTTCAGCATGCCGGACACTTGAAGTACACAAAGGACCTTAACGCCACACACGCTCACATTCAGTCGAGGCGGCAAACAATGAGGACACGACAGGACAATGGCAAATGTGTCGAAAACAAATGAGTCTGGTAACGAAGTTGCGAACTCAGTTGGAAGGGGTCAAAGGGAAGTAGGTGCTGACTTTGTGCATATGCTTGAAGAAGGTTTGCTTGCAACAAGGTGACAGAGAATCCTTGGATATTTACGAAAATCACGTAAATTTAATGAAATTTCGTTGAGAGACGGCCACTTGAAAGCAACAATACAGGCGGTAGCGTAAGGTGTTCTGTACCCCCGAGAAGTAACACGCAAATTCACACTCTCTCTTACACGCACGCACACATACACACACATACACCCATACCCACATGGCACAGAGCTAAGCAGCCACAACATGCAGAATTCACAATAAAAAGGACACTTGAGCATTAAGAGCCTTTGACAAAGCAATTCGATGAAGCATGAAGAATTCGTGTATGAAGATATGTGAAGTACTTGAGTGTTAAACACATGCAAACACATACAAATGCGTGAGGATACATACATTCATGCAGACTGGCTGTAAATTGATGGAAATAACAGTATGTTGTACGTGCAAAAACGCACTTAGTCAGCTGAGGCATACCCGCATTGCATTTGGCTGCACTTTTGCAATATTTTCTGTAACTTTGTCCTTATACGAGTATTTTCCTCATTCACCATCACATTTAGGTGTCTCATCGCTTGCATTAATATTCACCTTGTGCGCCACATGTGACGCCGTGAGCGTGTAATCCTCATCATTATCATAGCAGATTTTCACTTAATCCCATTGTCCTTTCTCTTATAAAAAATTCATATTTTGCCCAACACACACAACAACACATACACACACACAAAAACATAATAACCTTCGTTCATTCTTTCCTCGTTTTAGATAATCGATATTGATCCCTTCTGGGTACCGACCACCGAGGAGGAGATTACACATTTCGGCGAGAAGGCAGATTCGGCAAATCGCGCCAAAGTCTACATGGATAGTGTGCGCAGACGCAAGGGCCTGTATGTGGATGAGAAGGTTGTGGAGCATGCGGAGAAGCAGCGCACGTTGTCGAAGAATAAATGAAGAATTACCCTGGCGAACAATTTCGAATAGGAATATACCTCGTTCTGTGTCTTGTGTTTTGAATTTATCTCATTGCGTTGTTCGACATTGGAAAATTGTAAAAATCGAAAATTGAATAAAAAAAAACTAATAATTCAAAAATAAATAAAGTTTTGCAACAATAACCTTCTCTTCTTAATTAGGCGTTAGGCGCCAAATGCACACAGAGAAAGCAACTGGATCCTTCTTCACATGATCTTCCCAACTGATTGGAAGTCTCCCTCTTTTCCTACTTTCACCGGGTACTGAGCCGTAGTAAGTAGTAGGACGTAGTAGACTAAAAAACGTAGAGTTGTTTATGAAAAATTTTGATAAAAGAAGAGAGATGTCCATGGTGGAGGCTTTGCTGGGGTATTCAACACCGCTGAGAGATTTAGCAACACCGATCCCGGAAATATTCCGTCAGCGATCTCAACCTCTACTCTGGAGCAACCAAACTTAAGGCCACAGTCAAAACGTTGTCGAACCAGACGAGACGGAATGACCGGGTGAACAGCCGAGTGATTAATATGGCGGACTACCACTCGGAATTCCAAGGTTCGAATTCTGGTCCGACCAGAAAATTAATTTTAAATACAAAACGTAAGTAAATTCTTTTCCAATTGCGGTCGCTCCTCGGCAGGAAATGTCAGATGTTTTGAGTGTATTTCTGACAAGAAAGAAAATATCTTCAAAACTATTGAAAGCCGCATACCACAAGTGGCCAGCCGTCTTGGTTTCTCCAGGGAAGATGTTCAGGGGGTCATCGGGAATCCCCCAAATGCATTGGCTCCGACGGAATAAGCATAATGGCGCTAAAACAGCTGACACCAGCGAGAGCAAACTACCTCATCAAGGTCCTCAATTCGTCTGTAACCATCGAAAAAATACTCGACGTGCGGAAAATGGGTAGGGTGGGTTCGCTACTAAAACTAATGAAACCAGCCAACAAGAGAGAATCATATCGTCCCAAATCTCCTCTCGCAAGTAGCAAATACAATTAAGGTCTTGCTGCTCCCATCTTCCCACAATTGGCTTTAACGCCCAGAAAGTCAATGCCCCCTACGCAAAGTGGCCCTGGGCGTGATCGTTGTATCACGGGATCTGTCAAACCCTTTTGGCACCATTAATCATTCATCGGACATTGAGGACTCATGATTACCACCGGAATTCGGACTATGGACTATGGGATCAAATATTCAAACTCCCTAAGATTAAAAGAGGGGCTCCGTTGGCTGGTGCACTCCCGCTACTGTTGTTCAACTTCTAGATCTCGAAGATCTCTCCCCCACCAGAGAGCGTTTCGCTGATCTCATATGCCAACGATGGCTCGATATTGGCAAGGATATCAATGACTTATGTTCAAAAGTGAACTGCTGTTTCGCCGACCTTTCCCATTTCTACACTGCACGACTAGACTTACCGTTAGACTGAATTGTTTACTTCTAAGCGGAGATAGACTAGCCGCTGCAACAACATTTGACAACCCACTCCTGTGGGTTCTGAATCAATCCTGAACTGAACTTATTACACAGAATTTATTAAATATTTTTACGAAAATTATTAAATATTTTTTTTCTCCATAACTCTGTTTCATAATTTTATGCATATCTACTAGAAAACCTTCCTTAAATAATACAAACAAAGTGAAGATAGGAAAAGTCTTGTCGGGGCATACTACGTATATGTGATTGCTCTCTCCTCCACATTAGCGCTTATGGCAGCGATCGCAGTCTTCTCAACAATGGTATCGCCATGATTGGCTTGAGCGGAGCCTGCATCTTTACCGCCAGCAATGAGTTGAGATTCCTTCTCACTAACCTCCGGTACTGCCAATGATTGTTCGCCGAGTATTACGTGAATGGAGCTGAAGATGGAAATATATGTAAATACGGGAACATTTTATTAAAAAAAAAAAACAGGAATTTTCATTTCCTCACTCACAGGATTAGCACGAAAACGGCCATTTGTGTAGCGATGGTTAGCAGAAACACGCCCTCACCACCCTTGCCATCATCATTGAGCGTCGCGCGGTAGACTTGCGAATAACACACCCCGCTTATGAAGGGCACAGCATTATCGCAGACCGCGAGCAGCGCGAAGACCTTACCACGCTCCGATTGTGGCACAATCTTAGAAGTCATCGCACGTATCATTGGACCAACTATTGGACCTAAACTGCAAATCAAGGCGCCCACATAGAAGAGTGTGCCGGTATCGGCGAAGTAGTAGAATAAACGTGCTATGGCGTGCGCCCAAGCGCCAATGAAGATGATGGTCTGTAGCGACGAAAAAGCAACATAAATGATTACCCCGTAAAATCAAAACATTTTAATCTGCAAACCGTATCCTTCCAATGAAAGCCCTTATTCATCAATGGCACTGCCAACAGCATGGCTATTACATAAGCGGACGACTTGAACGTCTTGAAAGTGCTGTAGACATCCACATTCCAATTGAACTTGAATGTGGTGTAGAGAAAGAGATACTGATTCTCATCGCGTTGGAAGGTATACAAGGCCATTGTGATGAGTAGTATGATGAGAAATGGTCGTCTGTGACCCGGCCGTGGCTTAACCAAAACGTTGAAAGAGTCCTTGACATGTTCCTTATCGAAGAAGTCTGGAAAGAAGCCACAGCAGCCGAGCTCGCGTAGGGAACGCTGTTTGGCGGTAGTTTGCCACTAAAGAGGGAAAGACGAAGAGAGACAGAGAGAGAGAGGAGATTACGCATAAAAATTAAATGCAAACCCATAACAAAGGCTACTTACCTTGAGCGCTAGCAACGTATAGACGATAGAGAGTGCCAGTAGTGAGGCATTTAGCGTGAACATATCAGCATATGATTTATTAAAAGCATTATAAAAGAGATGTGAGCCTGTAAATTGAGGAATCAGTTCAGAAATTACCTCTCTAAAATTTGTTGAAAACACGCTCACCTAAAGCCACACCCGTTGGCATGGCGCTTAAATAGCAGATATCCAATATGGTTACCCGCAAGGTGCGATTCTTCAGCGTCGATATATCGGAGATGTAGGCAAAGCACGAAGCGAATATTGCAACATCCGCGCCCGTCAACGCCGATGGCAGTGTGGCTGTATAGATCACGTACTCCAATGGCCAAGTCTTCATCCTCGCATTCACCACAATCATCACAGAATAGATGAGCTTGCCTGTCAGCCCCATGAGTAGCGGAAATTTGCGCCCTCGCCGGTCGGAGAACGACCCGAGAAAAAGCGCTAATATAATGGGGAACACGTGCGCTGAAATCGACTCGATTTGATGAAATTTCGCCGTTGTGATCTGAAAGAAGCACAGAGGTAATGTGTATAGATTTTCTCAAAAGCGTGGAATCAATTTTTTTCAAATAGCCGTAATGTGGCCGAATAAACTGTAGGTTCCCCATTTGTTGAAAAAAATATAAAAACGATCTGAAGTTAATTCGATTTTTTTCTGACGAAGGACTGTCAAACCCACAAAAGTCAAATATCTGCGGATCGGTTGCATCTTCCTCAGTAATGGACAATGCATTGTTTTTGTTTTTGGAAGGAATGCAATGAAGTGGCTAGTCATGCGGAATCACAGGACTTACGTTGGATATGATAGGGAGGACTTAATTATACCAGCAATACTCGGGTCTCTTGAGGCAGCTCGAAGCGGTTCTGCGCACAGGAGTTGATTCGGGTTTTATTGTGCAAAGGTTTGTCACCCCTTCGGTGAACTAACTCAGTTGAGGTCATCTGGCAATTCACAGTCCCGCTCTTTATCATAGATTTTATCGAGAAGTCTTCAATGTTGAAAACGATTCCTGTGAGCTTTAATGTGTCGCGGTATCAGTTTAGTTTACTGTGTGTAACCCACGCTGCTGAACTGTTGGGCTGAGGTGGTGGGTGCATAACCGGCGCAAGAAGGTCTCTACTCTATTTCCACCATTCGTGTATCGTCAGAGTGGTCGTAGACCTGCATGTTTGCCTTCTAATTCTATCTACCATAGAGCATTGAGTCCAAGCCGAAATAAAAGTTCTTCCGTAGGTGATTTTAAATCTCACGTAGGCTGGTCATAAATAAAGGTTCTTTTTCTACGTACCAGTACGTTTAATACTTAAAGGAGACTTGCCAAGGTGGAATTTTAACATTATCTTGTCAGACATTTTAACATGGCGTCGTTTTTATCCTTAAGAGTGTCATTGCATTAAAATTGCTCTCTAAAGAAAAGGGTAAAAATATGGGCTTTCGGCGAGCTCCGGTGCCAAGTATTTTTTTTTTATTTTTTTTGCATTCACTATTATTTTATATTTAATTTAATTTTTCATTTATTTTATTTCAGTTTTTTAATTCATTTTAATACATTTTTTTACATAATAAGGTTTTTTACTTTTAATTATGACTTTTAATTTTAACTTTATTAATTTTTAATTTTTTTTTTAATGTTTTTACTATTATTTTTTTTTGCTTTTGTTTTTTTTTTACTTTGTGTGTTTATATTGTTTTTATTTTCTTTTGTAATTTATTCATACATTCCTTCCCCTTTCTTCAGATTGTGTACATACCTGTACTTGCTTTTTATACGCAGCATTTTCATCCGCCTTTATATTCGAACAAATTTCTTCACTAAAATTATTGTTCACGCGACACGCCTTCTGTACGAAGAAATCCTGCTCCACCACTGAGGTTATCATGAAGGCAAACATATATAGGAACATAGTGGGTTCAACTGATATCTTAGTTAAAGAATAAAGTAAGAGATAGAAAAAAATTCAAAATATATAAGAATAAAATTTATATATGTATATACATATGTGGAGATCAAGGGTTAAGCACACTCGTACATCCACACACGTGCATAAATATGATCACTTACCTTTTTGTACCATGGTGACATACAATTTTTTTTAATCTTCTCCCAACGGCTGTGGGTTGGCGCAACTTCCACTCGTTCATCCTAAAATTATGCAATGAGTTTTTACTTTATGTAAAGTTTGCTCAATATACAGCTGGTATTTTAAGTTCCACAAACGGAAGATAAACTCAGAGCATGCGCCGAATTTGCGCGCCCGTAATAACAAATATATAGGGATGTGTGTGTAGAAAAGAGTGTATCAGAGAACTTATATATATTATTATGTTATAAGTTCTCTGAGTGTATGAGCTGAATGCCATGTCTTTGAAAAATTATAAAATGTTTCTAAACGACAAATTATATAGAATTCTTCCTAGACACAATTAAAATTTTCTTGATTTTTCCACATTTTAAAACAACGCTAATTATAGATTATGCACGTGAATTACTCTAAAAATACAGTGGCGCTTAACGAAATTAAAAAATACCGAAAAAATTACACAATATAATTTTTTTGCTTGAAATGATTTAATTTAATAAAGAAAAAATTTTTTACGAAATAATTTTATGAACTCAAATAAAATTAAAATGTAAATAAAATATTAAGCGCTAGAAGGTTGGACTAACAAAAACGATTCGGACGATCGAAATTTTTCTAAAGATCTAAGATAACGCCTGAAACGCCTTTTTTTAAAATGAATATACCATGAAGGTAATATAAAGTATTCCAAATCTTACCAAAATAAAAATATTTCTAGAGAAAAGTGTTACAGTAAAAGTGTCTGTGAAATAAAGACAAGATTTTTAAGCTCAAAATATCATTTTTAAACCAAGCTAAAAAAATTGATTATGGAACATCGCTACACTTTTGAATCTTTCTAGTCCATAACGGCTTAAAACGGGCATTTATCCCTGTTCTGATTCATAGTAATGGTTTTGCAAATCTAGATGCTTTTTAGGCGAGAAAGGGTTGAAACTACGCATCAAAGATAATCATTATTTGTATGAAAAAAGTATTCTCAATATCTATAAAAATCAAGGTCAATATGAAATCAAAATTTTCAACATATCGTTCAGAAAATAAATAGTAACCCATTAAGACATACTTTTTTTTGACTGGATGTACTTTGTAACCGATTTTTATAAAATATTCACGCTTATAGTTTCATAAATAAGTTAAATAAAAAATATTTTCCTTCGTTTACGGCGAGCTTCCGAAAACCGAAATAATTAAGCATATATTTTTATTTTTTAAGTTAGTTTCGAGTTCTAATCAAGGTATGGTAAATGGTAACCATTTATTAGAAAGGCGGTATAATGCATTAAACGATTTGTTTTAATTAAAAAACTATGATAAATGTAAATATTATTTTTGAGGACACATTTTAAATTCAAGAAAGAAACTTAAACTCACTAGAAAGTATTTATTTTTGATCAAAAATTTGAATAAGCAAGATGACTATTAAATTAAATTTTAAAAACCGAAAAATAAAAATTAAAGCTGACCGAAACAATATAAAATAGTAATAAATATTTCTTTTGAGCCATAAGATGATTCTAAAAAATTAAAACTTATTAATCATCTAACATATGCAAATAACTGAAAAATAATGAAAAAGATCTAAAATATATTAAATTTTAAACGAATAATATTATATAATATATTTGTATAAGTAATTTCCTAATACTAGAATATTCTACTATATAACAAACATTTATCAAGTACAAACTGCTAACTTATATTAATTATTGGTTTCATTTGAAGATAACTTCCCACTTCCTCTCCCGGTAACGTAGCTAAAGCGTAGCATTTATACAAACCGTGCTACGTGCTTCATGGACGCTCCCCTGATTAGTGAATTTTTTTTTATTCAAATTGATGATTGATTATGATTGCAATAATTTATGACTGTGAATTTTATAATAAAGAAGAATTGAACTAATTTCACCCGAAACTTTAATCTTAATTATGATTTTATTGATTTTTGGTATTCGCTTTTAATATTAAATCTCTATATTTTTTATTTTTCTATACTCTTCTGGCTTATTCGATAAAATATAAAACTTGTCCTTAAAATTACTAAGAGCCACAGATTTTTCAACTCACGTTTTCTGTATTTGTTAGACTATATTTCACTTGGGTCTTAGTAGACATTTTTAAAAGAAAATCTTCGTTACTTGGCAACTCTACTAAGCAGGAAATAAATTCGCGACCACTTGACAAGCTGTTAATTTATGTCATGTATGCATATATGTACGTATATATATGTTTATGTCACACCAAACTTTTAGTTCGCAGAAACTAGTTATTGAAAATTCCCAGCGTCGAGCGTTGCGTTCTTTTTTAATGTAAAATTCGTGATTTTGTTATCGATTTGAGTAAATTCAAAAGCACAATTATCAAAGCGACGCACTGACTGCTGCACGGATGCACATTTCTACTGTCTAATAAATGTAAGATTGTTATGTATGCATGTAGAAGACACAACTTGAATGAGTTATATTGTCTCAAGTATTGCAACCGAGCGCCGTATTATCATTATCGATATCTTCTCAGACATTTACTTTTAATTCCAACGTATTTCGTAACTTTTCGCATTTGCGCCAATATTAGACGCTGAAACCTTGCGATTTTACACAACAATAAGTGGGAGCGTTTTTTTTAAATTTCTTATTGTCAATAAAGAGAAAAGTATAAACACATGTGCGCTTGTGGAACGTGCTCTCTCTCTCTCTCTCTGCGTATCTCTCATTTCACACCTTTCGCTCTTTCAAATTTACACTCACCTCTCTTCTGCTATCCATTTGCCGGCTCTTCAGCACACGTGCTTCTTTGCTGTTGTTTACTTCTTGTTTGGATCTGTGTTGTTGCTTTATGCAGTAATATTTACATATATGTACATACGTACGCACATCTATATATGGATGTATGTAAGTATTTACGTATGCACTTTTCGCTTGTTTGTTTGGAAACTTGTTGGATGGTAGTTCTTTATTTAGCCACACATTGCATTTGTTGTTGTTGTATCTTTACACTAGTCAACAATGGAAAGAGATAATTAAGTCGCAACTCAGAAACATATATGTACATACATATAAATATTTTAAAGCATACATTTGCATGTAGAAAACCTTTGAACAAAGAACAAAATGACGCACATTTCAGGGTCAAATGAAATCCATTGCGGCGTAAAGTCTCCAATATGCTTAGCGGACCCCTATCAATAACATGGATGTAGAGTTTTCATTTCCCGATTATGATGAAGTCTGCCCGCTAGAAGAATAACAAGGCGGAGACCGGCTGAGCTATTCAAATTTGGCGTCGAAGATCTGACAATGCGCATACACAGTTTATTTTCAGAATATCGTAGGTCGAAAGCATACCACATAATCGGATTTTAAGTGTGCTTGGTCCAAATCACACCACAATCGGCGCAAATAACCGAGGGATAAGCTTTCTCCCCGCTGCAGTAGCCGGGTGATTAGTTACTATTATGCGGAAGGTACAGTCAGTAAGTAATTACGGTCGCCTCTCGGCATGGAATACCAACATCTTCTCGGGTATTTCTGATATATGATGTAAAAGTATCTCATAAAATTCTCTTAGAAGTGCCAGCAAACTTAGCTTTAAAATAATCTGTAGGCCCCTCCATTTGTTGAACATCAAGAATTACACCACAAGTTCGAGGAGATGCTCGGCCGAAAACTGCTCTTCAATATCACATAGCCCACCACTAACCAAATGATTAGACCTTATCCTTGTCTTCACCAGTTGCCTTCGATTGCATGAAAAATAGCTACCTCACCGACACTATGTCTGAATTTGATATCTACAATAGGGAAGGATCTCTCCGAGCCATTCATTACCAAATAAGTTTTTTTAACGTAAGCAGGGAGGCGTAGATGTGGTGTCTTCAGAAAATCGGCTGCCTATATACAGGGTTTCTGGCCGCAAGGACCTTTTTTAAAACGAAATAGTTCATGAGACTGCCAAAGTGCCATCCGCCTGGCTATCAAATGAGCTCGCAATCACTAACCAGAAGCTTCCACTATACCGATGCTCAAGAAATTTCAGAAAGGGCTAACCGACGGATCAAGGTGAAAGATCACCAAAGGAAAACACGCATATTTTTTTGGTCATGTGTTCTCGTTAGCTTAATAACTGGCATCACCCGCCAACCACAGGAAAGGAAGACCTCCTTTGTTTCTGTGTGGCCCTACGCAGAATTCGACTCAGATATCTAGGAGCTTCGCAGATCAAATGACAAAATAAATTAGGGAAATTTGTTATCAAGGCCCTCTTAAGCTATGAAAAAGGCGTTGAATTGATGACTACTTCGGCTCCAACTAAACTGAACCTCCATCTGGTATTGCATTACTATCATTGGCTTTAACAACTGCACCATTAGCTCTGCTTTCACAGACTGGATGAGGAAGCGAAGCGAATGGATCTGGTAGTGGTAGCACTCGCGTTTTGACAGGTCCTAGGAGGCAATTGAAAAGTAAAGTTCTCTCTCTCGTAGAAAGAACAAACTCTTCAAATAAACATCTAATGGCTTGGTCGTAGGAGTCTTCGAGGGAAATTTTTCGCTTAAGATTTATAGTTCCTGTCGTATTAGCAAAGGCGAATACCGCAGACGATGGAACGATGAGATAAATGCGATATCGTTCAGCGCCTTAAATACAACTTAATTAACTCCAGTTTTGAAGGCTATCGCCGCAGAGCAGAGGACGAGAACGACCTCCACTCCGTTGAAAATATCAGTTGGAATTATTGAATCGGCAATAATTATTCATTTAATTTATTTACAAGAAATGGAAAAGTACCAGTAGGAGAAGAGATACATCCATTAAAATATATACCCATATGAACAGAAGGACGAGTTGAGTTGATTTAGCTATGTCCACCTCTCCACCTGTCCGTCTGTCCGTCTCTCCGTCTGTTTGCACGCAAACGAGGTCTGCAGTTTTCGAGATATCTCAACCAAGTTTAGTGCACAGATGAACCGTACTTTCAAACGGTCATTTTACGGTACCACTACAACACACATACGTATGTACGAGTGATTTTTTTTAGAGCAGGAAATTTCGCCCACCACACACGGAAAACTTCATAGTTTAGCCCTGTTCAATCAATTTCTCAGTTATGGGATTAAAATACCTTAAATGAGATACCAAAAACTTCATATCGTCATGAAAGGTATAAAGGCTTCGGTATGGCCGAAGACAGCTCTTATTTCTGTTTGCTCTAAATAAATATTTAATTGTATTAATTGGCTCTTAATTAATTCGGGGCGCGTTCCGCGAAGTCAATATTTGCACAAAATATTATTTACAAACAGAAGATTATTTTTAAAAACATATGTATGTATGTATTTGTTATTTTTTGAATAATCTAATGCCCTAAGTAGCAATAAGCAATCGGCGAATGTTGGGTCTTTGGTGGCTTGGCGGTTTCTGCTTATCAGCAAAACTACATGATCGTTGACGTTAATAACATTTTCAACTAGAGTGCGCGACATATAAACATATGTTTGTACATATGTATGGACGCATCGACGATAACCAGACTGGCATATGCATATATACATACATATGTATGTATGTACATATTATATTTATTTATTAATTTGTTGATGACAACTTTTGTATGAGAATATGAAAAGCTTTGTTCTAAATGACTGACAGATCAACCCACAGTATAAACCACTGAAAGTAGAGTAGACCATGGAGGGTGTATTCAGCGTATGACGTGGGCATTCGGTAAGAAAGAATTCTTGATAAATTTGAGTTTTCACGCAAAATTGTGCGTCTATATTGACATTGGGAACACTTTTTCTGCCACGAAACGGAACTGTGATCGATATTACGATTATACGATTCATGTCAAATATGTACCGTTTTGGTCGTTAACTTTTTTCCATTTTAAAGATAATGTCATCATACCTCTGCCCCTATTGGCAACAAATTGGGACAACAGATTTCCATAGACTTCTCCTAAGGCTAATTCTTCACCAACCAAATCATTTGACTTGGGAAGACAGATGGTAGTCACTTGGTGCGAGGTACGGACTATACGGTGGATGTCTAACACACCGCCAGAGTTTCTGGCGGGTCACTATTGATGTGTGTGGCCTAGCATTGTGCTGATAAGACAGAAATACTCTTCTGTTGGTCAATGCTGGGCGATTGGTTCCTTGACACGGTCTTTTGCTGTCAGTACAAGCCCGAATTGAGATTTTGAATGTTGGAAAGCAGCTCGTAGTGGAAGATTCCTTGCCAATCTTACCAAACACACAACGAAACCTTTCTGGCCGTCAATCCTGGCTTGGAGACCGTTTGTGCTCGTTTGAAGTTGTTGTAAGTGGTTTACTTTTCATAGCCGCTTTATAAATAAGTCGATTTTGTTACGATCAGCAGAATTCGCAATTGGAAATTTAGTCTATAAATTAAGTCATTGGCACCGATATCTCGAGCTTTTTTGATTATTCAGCCTTTTTGAACCTTCCAAACTGTTTTTGGTTCAGTGTTTATCTTCGGACAATCGCAAGACGGTCAGACTCTTCACTTTATAATGCCACCTAGCGTAATCTAATCGCACTTATAGAATGTGGGATGCAGATTCCTAAAGCTTTTTACTAGTCTTTGAACATTTTTAACACCACCTAATTTATTACTAACCCATCAAATTATCGTGTTATCAGATGCTCTAAATGGAAAAACCATGAAAAAAACCCATGTCCATATTTTTATGTACATACATAAATGACTCAAATTAGAAAAAAATACAAAAGTTGACGAGGTGCATTGCAGTGGATTGATGTTTTTTGTCAAGTTGTCAAGTTGTCAAGTTGTCAATGATCTCCACACCTTATCAAATATGAGCACTGACATTTGGAAATTATAAATAGTTTATGATCTGCTATTAAAAAGCACTTTGATAGCAGGCTGTGTAAGCACGTGTGAATTGTGGAATAATTTTTATGTCGGGAATTTTGAAGAATGCGACAGAAATGTCTTGATTCACTGCGCCTTTAATTGATAAAAAAAAATTACATGAAACAAAATAAATTCAATTAAAAAACAATCACCACTCATTTACTGCTCAATTTCACTTCTTCAACAACGAGGAAAACTTGTTTCGCCACCAAAAAAAAATGCGACTCATGCAAATAACCCCCTTTTTACTACGTTTCCGATTCCAATCAACTTTTTTTCCAATTTCTTTTTTATATTACACAGCCATTTAAAAATTGCAAGATTTTGTTTTCTTTATTCACAATCGTGTCCAGTTTCAAAATCCAGACCGTAAGTGAATAACAAGTAAACAACTTTAAATAAGCTTGACGCGCACAGATTGAAACTTGTTTTTATATGTACACGTAAGTCTACAAAGCTTCACAGCCGACTCCCGTACCGATCCCAATGTCGATCGCGCTTCAACTAAATTGGTTTTGTTGAATAATAAATTCTCATTGAAGTGTTTAGAATCTATGCCATTAAAACATTATCACGCTCTTTCTCATATTCAGTGTATTATCAATAGCAAATTTAAATATAGGGTGTTTGAATAAGTAGTGAAAATTTTTTAAAATACTTTGCTTTATATAGAACATAAGCCAAACTATTTCTTACGGATCAATAGTAGTTATCAGTGACTTCTCTCCCCATATAATGACAAAAAATATTCAAAAACAACAAAATTATACACTTGTATGTATATATATGTAACATACATATACATCGGCATCCATACAGAGTCGTTTTTTCAGCAACCCTGGCTCGGTTTCGCACCGCGTTTACTCTACTGGATAATGCAGCGGAGTTCCTATAGCTGCTATGGAGCAGAGCACCGAAGAATATCCGAATGAGTCTATCCACCATACAATTGAAGCAGTGCCTTCCACTTTATGGAAGATTTTGCTAAAGAATCTTAGTTTAAGGGCATACAAAATTCAGACCGATCAAGTATTGAAGTCCACAAAAACAAGATGTTCACCGAACTCGATTTTTGGAAGAAAATTTTTGTCAGCTACGAAGCTCACTGATGATGATAATCTTTTAGTCATTGTTGAGGCGTCTTTGCATCTTCAAGAAGTCACAGTTTGGTGTGGTCTGTGGGTATAGGAATTCTATAGCAGCGATTATAACGAATGATTTGTGTATCTTATCCTACCAGACGCGCCGAATACCGCAGACGTGAGGTTATACCAAAGAACGTCAAATGACGAGAAGGACCGATTCCGTACAGCATTTGAACTGCCAGAATCGACGAAAGGAATAAGAGACTATTTCACAACTGCCGCCAGAAATTGACTCTGTTTGTCACATTTCTGAGCAAGATAATAACACATTTATTAAAATAATGATCTTCCAAATATCAGAATTCTGCAAATAATTTGTCAGTCTCTGGTAGTTCGCTTTTAGCAAGCGGTGAAATAGTTTCTTACAAATATCGTATAGAGATGAAATAATCTCTTAGCAAAAACAAATGGCGGTCGGAACGCCTCGGTCCTTCTCTTTAATATACATTATCTGATCATACCATCCTTGAGAGCGGCAACACTCCAGCGATGTATTCTCGAAATTATCGATGGCATGCTCGAATATTTTCGAATAATGAACTCTTGTTCGTGTTGAGCTTTAAAAATTGTTAGCCATATTGAATTTTTGCTCTAACCAGCGAATCACACATTTTCGTTAAAATTCACCAAGTTGTGTCTTGTTACATATGTATTGTAAATTCTTTCAAATGAAATATTCTCCCTTCTCTTATATTCAGATTACAGAGCTACACCCTGTTACAACATTTATATTCAAATTTAATATCAATATTAAGGGAGTAATCTAATAAAATATTAAAATCAGCATTGATAAGAAAGTAAGTACAAATTTCAATACAGAAAGAATTTCTTGCTAATGCTGCAACTAGTCTCGACCTTATGAGAAAGGCCTGTAAAGGAAGAGTTACCAACGCTTGGCGAATTTGAAATGAACTAAGTAAATGTAACATTTTTGAAATAAATAAGTGCTGAAATCATAATTAATTATTTATTACGATATAGTTTACACGTACGTATATGTATTTAGCGGGCGTTTATATTCCAACCTGAGGTTTATGAGTTTCTAGCGAAAGCTATAAATTTGGTTAAAAGTATCGAATCACACTGACGCCTGGCAGCGGCGAAATGCAAGTCGATAACTTGTGACTACATACGCATCCCCCTTCCGGTCGGGTGGTACGGCTGAGAGGTATATAAAGCGACTAGTTCGGCTATAAATTACACTAAGAAAAAAGCTCATATTTACCTACAATACAAAATCTCTAATTTTAACCGACTGCAATTGGTCACTTTTCTTCTCACTACTCATTTGAGCTATAGTTTTAGTGGTAGTGTTGCGAAAAACGAAAAAATGGAGCTATTTTATAATGTTTTCACCAAATTTCAAATATCAGCCCTGTTTACGAAACAAAGTCGATGCTGTGCTTTTGAATTATATTTTATTTAAACCAATTAAGCTTGATTTGCTTGAACTGTCAAATATTGCATTGCTTGCAAACATAAGCCATTTATGAGAGTTCTTTGAGTGTTGTTAATTTATTTAAATTATGACGAGGCTCATTCGCTCGCCTGCAAATATTGTTTTTTTTTTCATTTTATATTAGTATGAGTTTATATCATATATGTATGCTAATTGCAATTTAGCCGAAATAATAAACAAATTCAGTTTTATGATCTGACTAAAAGACCCAGCCGCCTGATGTTGTATGTTTTTGAATTTGGTTCAGTAAAGGAAATGATATGTGAAAAATAATGAAATATCTTTACTACGATTTAATTAGTGAAAGATATTAAATTTCTTATTATGTTCATAATTGTTCTAGCCAAGTATTTGAATGGACGAAAGCGCATAAAATATTTGGTGTTTGAATTTCACAGTGGCTGCGCTATTTTTACCTGCTCAAAGATATGCATGCTAGATATAGTCAGAGATTAGTAGCTGTGTCGATACTCGAAGTCTTACATATAAGGTTGTCAAATATCTCCCTTCCGCTTTTCTCCGCTTTTTTGTCTTTTGAATTTCGCGGCTATGTACAAAGCGCTACACTATACATAATTTGAAAGGTCTTGACATAACCTACAAAACAACGCTATGCATGATTAGTTTGGATATTGCGTTCAACAGTTATAGACGTGTAAACATGGAATTCACTAACGCCGAAATTCGCGCTATTTTAAAGTTTTCCTTCGTTAAAGGCAAATCCGCTAGAGAAACGTTCCGTAAGATTAATGGTGTTTTGGGGGATGGTACTCTATCACTTCGAATCGCGGAGGAATGGTTTCGACGATTTAGAGCCGGTGAAAACGACACCATGGATAAGCCAGCCGGCGGAAGACCTGTGACGACAACTACCGATCAAATTATGGAATACATCGAGTTAGACCGGCATATGGCATCTCGTGACATCGCCCAGGAGATGGGACCGAATCAACGCCTGCGATATGCTGCTGAAACGGAACGAACTCGACCCATTCTTGAAGCGGATGGTGACTTGCGACGAAAAATGGATCACATACGACAATATCAAGCGAAAATGGTTGTGGTCGAAGGCCGGTGTATCGTCCCAAACAGTGGTCAAGCCGGAATTGACGGCCAGGAAGGTTTTGCTGTGTGTTTGGTGGGATTGGAAGGGAATCATCCTCTATGAGCTGCTCCCATATGGCCACACGCTTAATTCTACCATCTACTGCGAACAACTGGACCGCTTGAAGCGGGCGATCGACCAGAAGCGTCCAGAATTGGCCAACAGGAAGGGTGTAGTGTTTCACCAGGACAACGCCAGACCACACACTTCGTTGATGACTCGTCAGAAGCTACGGGAGCTCGGATGGGATGTTTTATCGCATCCACCATATAGCCCGGACGTAGCGCCACGTGATTACCACCTGTTCCTGTCCATGGCGAATGCCCTTGGTGGTGTGAAGTTGAACTCAAAAGAGGCTTGTGAAAAGTGGCTGTCCGAATTCTTCGCAAATAAGGAGGGGGACCTCTACGAGGAAGGTATTATGAAGTTGCCGTCTAGATGGAAACAGGTCATCGAACAAAGCGGCGCATATTTTAACTAAATCCGATCACTGTAACACTTTTTATAAAGCATTGAATGAAGAGCAAAATGTGAATATTATCAACCGATGACCACTACTCTAATATACGCTTATGTTCAATAACTTGCAACTGCTTGGCCAAACTCAAAACAAACTTCGGCCGCTGTATGCTATCAAAATCATTTTCGAAGATCTGCGACAACCTTGCCGTAAAGAAAGCATTTCATATGTTAATCTAGACAAAAACTTAACAAGCACTAAATTTCAAGCGAATGAAACTTGCTCTTTCCACCATTTCTAGTATTTCTTTGTCTCGACAAAAAGAAAACTTCGAAAAAAAAATTCGTAAAACTTCAAGTAAGCCGAACAAATAGCTGGATTTTGTTTTTTTTATAGATGGGTTCTAAATTCAAATTTGGTTCTTACCTGTAAATTGACCAATTAATAAGATTTGATAAAAGAAAACTCAACGAAGCTAGACTGAAAAGTTGAGCAAAATCGATCCAGCACTTTCGGATTCTATAATATTGTAGAGACTGTAAAGTAATCTTCCTTCTTTGTCGGTTTCTTTTATAGATACATCCGCCTTTGAGTATTATATTTACAAAGATTTGCAATACATTACAAGCACAAAAAAAAAAATTATTTAACACGGCATTTGGCTTTTGAAGTCGCTCAGCCCAACCCCAACCGACAGAGATAATAAAGCTAATTTTTCTTTTGTTTATTTTTCCTTGACAGCAAATTGCAAATCAGCATAATGTCGTGCAAATGCAAGTGCAAATACAAATAATGCAACTATCAGTGACTTTATGGCACAAGTGTACATATTTATTCGTAAACATCAATATAATCTTGCTATTATTAATTAAGCGCAATCACCGAGGCGGTTCATTATAGAATATTTTACTGGAAAATGTTTCTAATTTGGATTAGTGATGGAAAACTATTGAAGAATTTCGACCGATAATTTAATAAATATTTGTTTGCACAGAGCTAATTAGGGCTGATCTGTGCGCTGAAGAAATTTATTTTGTGAGTCCTTGCCTGTTACAGCGTGAAGTGGAAGGAGAATATAGGCAGTATTGATTTCCCCCTTATTTTCCTTTCTCTCTTTCATTAGAAGAGAGGAATCCTTAATTTCATTTTTTTTCTTCGCTTCCCTTCTCTTCCTTTTCCTCTCCTTTCCTTTTCTTTGCTTTCCCTTTCTTTCCTTTCCTTTCCTTTCCTTTCATTTGCTTTGCTCCGAATTAGGTACTGGAATCGGTCGCGCTCCGAAGAGTCTAAGATCTGATGAAAACTTCGGTGACCTTTATCTTCTCACTCACATAAATAACAGTTTTGAACTCGCATCACGTAATAAGCTTCCAGAGTTAGAAATATTTCTCTATAAGTGATAAGATTATGTAATGAATCGTAGCCGAGAAAAATACTCTTAACTATTAGCCTTACTCTAGGAAGCTCTATCCCTCGGCCGGGTGTAGATTCTATACCTACCCGTCCTTTGAGAATTTTATCTTAAGTCTAACGGGGCTACCTAATGTAAGATAATATTATTTTCTGTTATACACTTATCTTAACTGTTATACTCGCAGCAGTAATAGTATCTTTAAGGCACGCTACTAAGCCGGCCGGCTTCCATCTACACGCCTACATGCCTTCTCACTTTCATATGAAGCAGGTGTATCTTTAGACTGGGGGATTAAGGTGATAGACGATTTGTGTTTACAATTTCCGCTTCTCTTTGGGCTCAAAGTGACACAGACTACACACACACACTTATGCAAATATGTATAATAGTAGTGCATGTATGTATGAACATAAGTATGTGGGTAATAAGATCACTTGGCTTCACATGGCACATCGCCAGCTTCGAAGAAACCTCACAATCAGTTGCTCGCCGGGCGCCACACCGAGCAAACACGCGAACGCTTTCCATGCAAACTGAAATTATTTTCTCGTCTACTGAAATTTCCCAACAGTGTATGCAGCAAAAAAGCAAAGTGAAAGTGATAAATCCTTTAAGGCAACAATAAAAATGTCTACGAATAATCTCAGCTCATTGAAGCTAACGCGCAGCGATAATCCGCCACTCGCTGCCTACACCGACTACTACGCAAACACCAACGGCCGTGCGACGTCGCCTACACCAACGGATGCTGATGAGCAAATTGAGATGCTGGATGTTGTCGGCATGCCAGGCAGTAATGGTGAAGGCAATAGTAAGCACAAGATTGCCATCGCTAGGAGAAGTAACAGCTTGAATGGCTGCGGCAGTGCCACCGACGGTAGTCCTCTCGCCAGTGGCGCCGGCAGTCATATGGCCATCACCGATATCTCCGTCACACCACCACGCTCCGCATCGGAACGTAACAGCTCGGAGCGCAGTCTACCGTTGCGTAGCTACAGCAAGTGGTCGCCGACGGAGCAGGGTGCCACCTTGGTTTGGCGCGATTTGTGTGTCTACACAACGGGCGATCCGGATGGCTCGAGCGGTGGCGGCAGCATGCATAATATGAAGCGCATCATTAACAACTCGACAGGCGCGGTGCAGCCGGGCAATCTGATGGCGTTAATGGGTTCCAGGTGCGTGGGCAGGCGGTGGCTTGTTTCAGCGCTACTTTGTATGCGTTTGGCGGGCAAATTGATTATTGTGTGTGTGAATGCGAAAGTGAGCGAAGGAAAGTGTTAGTGGTTTCTAGGTCAGCAACTCTCAATGTAGGACTTTTAACCTGTCACTGTGTCGATGCACACACTCAGCGAGATTGCTTTTTGTGGCTTTCGGCTGACCAAATCAGGCATATTTTCGGACATTTAGCCTTGGTGCTCGTAAACGCTGTAAGAGTGTGCATTTTTCAACTCGGTTTTTGCATATGAGAAAAGTGTGAAGTTTTTAATCCTTTAAATTTAGTTGATTTCTTATCTCGTGATACACATAAATACATGCATACATACATACAAATAAAAATCTCCATGAAAAACGATTGAGATAAGTGAAATTGATAATCTCACCGGTTTGCCATGAGATGCTTTCCGCTGCTTGCTTGTTTTGCAATCAGCTCATACTTGGCCTTCTGCTGACAGAGATTAGAGCAAATCACTCAAGCAAAAACAAAATTAATCTATATTTGCGCTACTATTATTATGCATTACTTCTAAGAATGTGTGGAGGCATTTGATTGACGAGATATAGTAAAAATTCGTGTTCTTTGGAATGTGATCCAACTGGCTTTTCAGCGCAATGCAAGGAGGGGCCTGGAAATAACTTTTTATACCCCTAAAAATAAGCCAACACTTCGTCACCAATTAATTCCCTGCCGACGGGATCTTTTGAAGCAAACTCTCATACGCAGAACCCTTTGCGTTCTGGTTTCAAGCATTTATCCTCGGGTAGGTATGTTTGTAGTATTTAAACACGATCTTATCCAAGCCAAGATGATTGTGGAAGATTTTGCTAATGGTTGTATGGTAAACTGTAACCATTTCTACGAATTGTTTCTGGTTTAGGCGAGCGTCGTCGAAGATAATTTTTTGAACTTTAAGAATGAGTTTTGGTGTGGTAACCTCAGTATTTCTGTTCCGTCTCTGGGTTCTCTTCAAGCGTTCCTGTTTAAATATATTGTGCCACTTGTACATAAAAAATTTTCCGGGCAAGAGTCGCCGTAAGCCATTGAAATATCGTTCATTAGGGACGCAACTGATTTTCTATCGCTATTCCTACCAGGATTCGGCCAAATAATATAACTCCTGTATTTGTCGTCGTTCGTTTCACATGTAGGAATCCTGTCCTCGGGGTTAATTAGCGCATGATGCGCCACGGACCCACAAAATCACCTTCCAAATTGCATTAATAACTCTTTAACAGTTTCTAAGCGAAATTATCTCCAGTAGAAGAGTGAGTTTATTTATTTACGATATTCGTTAGCATCTCTTTTGAATGCCTGCAATTTTTTTATCTGCTACATTAACCGTTATTACAATGTACCGTTTCTATGAATGAGTTTCTTCACTTTTTTTTTGCTTTGCCATCGTTGCACAAAATGCGGTCAAGTTTCGAATTACCAGTAATACATATTTATAGGGCTTCTGGTTATTCTGGTCTTGCGAAAAGCAATAAATGAAGAAAAAACGAAGTCATTGCCTTTTAGGCCGGAAGAGAATTAAAGTCGAAGGCACAAAAATAAAAATAAAAACTTTGCTTTTAGCGAGAAATTGTTATTAGCAAATAATTGCTGAAAAATTGCATTTATTTTAAAAATTTATTTTCATTAAAAAACTCCTTAAAGTGTTCACCACAGTGGGATTCATTTCTACGACTTTTATTTTTTCTTTTTTACAACGGAAGTAGAATTATATTGCTCAAGTAAAAACACATTATTATTTTATTAAAGAAAAAAATTCGGTCTAGCAAAAACTAATCCATTATTTATGAAATGGTTGACTTCAGTGATTTGTAGCTCGCGTTCTATAAGTGCGATAGGATTACGCTAGATGACGTTAGAAAGAATTAGAGTTTAACGGGAGTAGTGTTGATCTCTAAACTCGGTACTGTTCGAGCGTATGTTCCTCCCGGTAATTTGAGGTAATAGGTACTCCACAATATGGAACGCTGATTGTCGAAGATGTTGATAAAGTAAAGTAAATCGTAGAGAATCGCTGTCATGTGGCCAAAAGCTAAACATTGCACAAAAAACAGTTTGAATCCCTTGAAAATGGCTGGATACACAAAAAAGCTCGATGTATCGGTGTCACATGAGTTAGCGAGATAAAACCTCTGCGAATCAGTGCTGAATCGCAACAAATTCGACCCACTTCTGAAGTGGATAGTGATCAGTGATGAAAAGTGGATACCTTATAGCCCGGTCAATTGAAAAAGGGTTGCGGTCTAAAGACAGCCACGATTGACGAGCAGGAAGGTTTTTGTGTGTGTTTGGTGGTATTGGCCAGGAAGATCCATCATAAGCTAATTCCCTTTGGACGCAACCCAAACTATCAATTCGTGTCCATACCGTCAGCTATTGATCTAAATAAAGAAAGTAATCGCTGGTAAGCGCACAGATATGCCCAAAATGAGCTGAATTGTATTTTATCAGGAAAATTTAGACCACACACGTCGATACTGACTCGCCAGAAGCTCCGAGAGCTTGGTTGGGAGGTAATTATGCATCCACCTTATAGTCCGGACTTCGCACCAACTGACTACCATCTGTTCTTGTCTATGGCTAAATTTGGCAGGTGAAGAATCGAACTCAACAGAAACATAATGTTTGGCGTAATAATGACATTACATTCAAAATGACAACAAGAGCAAAACGGCGTTCTCAAGAGCTGGGTCTTTTTTTACGGCAGGTTACGGCGCATTTTACACTTCGACTTACACCCACGTACTATATAAATTCCAGTTCACCATTCACACCGCAGTACATTCGTCACTAACTATTCGGAACGTTATGGTCGTATGATAACCGATTTTTTTTCTCTGCCAGCAATTAGAGGCCACGTGTGCCACACGCCACACAATACGCGCGATTAGGGCTTTACTGCCGCAGAAATTTTCCGTTCGGGTAATCCCTCGTCTTGACGATGTCTATTGGCTACCGAGATCGTGAGCTTCGCCTCTTCGCCGTTGGACTCGTTCAAACGATCAGATACAGGGTGACTTGGCCTCACTTAGTATTTCCAACTGGCGCCAAACAGCGCAAAAAAGTATTGAATGAATCACTAAAATTGATTCGGCTATAATCGCGTTGGCACCGCTTACGCCAATAAAGAAGAAGAAGAAGAAAATCGATAACCTTGTCTACAGCTTGTTTGCACCAAAAGGTCTCTTTAATATTATATTTTGACGAGAGATAGAAATTTCTCTTATGTGAGAGCAAACATTTTTTTTAATTCTCACTCTCATTTGGGGGATTTTTTTTATCGCAGCCGCCGCAGTGTGTAACGTAACTTCACATCCATACATACATCAATTCTAAATTCAGGCTTAGAACTACTTTCACTTTCGTATGCTGAAAAATGCCACATTCCATTAGAAATTGCTGAAATAATTTTTATTCATTTATTTGAAAATTTCAATTAAATGAAGACAAGAATTTTTCAACTGACAAAAAACATAAATTATTTTCCTCTTATTTATTTAACAACACCTATTTATCAAAACATACATACAACTACTTATGTACATATGTAAGTGTATGAAAGAGCTCTGTTCTTTTTTTTTTTTTTTGATAAGCAACCAAAAGCATTTAAAAGCATAATAAAACTTAATTACTCGAAAACTTGATTGTTGCAACACAACGATAAAAACATAAAACAAAAACAACAACAACTAACTTAGGAACAAATAACCATAGTAGCAGCGTCAAAAAAAAGTTAGAAAAACGCTGACATGTACTCATACATACATACGTACGTAGGCACGTAGGCGTGTATGCAAACCACAGTGGTCGGCAATGTGAAATCAAGTGTCTCTCCTCCAATGACGGGCAGCAAACAAATAAGCAAAACCAACAAAACAAACAAATAGTCAAATAGCCAAGGCAAAGTCTCATGCAAATAAATAAAATAGTTTTTCTCTATGTTTGTTCTGGATGTTGTAATATTTTATGTATGAATGTATGAGTGTAAGAGTGTTTGAGTGTTTGAATGTGTGTTGATGTTGAAGAGTGAAGATTTATATAAACAAATATTTTTCCAGGTCAACGTATTCTAAGTTTACTATTTTTTAAAACTCTTTATTTGCACGTACATACACACACACTGCATATGTATATGCATTTAAAGTTAGTTATGTACACACTTATTCACATATGTACCTATTTATATAAATACTCACTTTACATTGACAGTGGCTCTGGTAAAACGACACTGATGTCAACACTCGCCTTCCGTCAGCCAGGTAAGAAATGGAATATACACATATGTATTAATATAGTTAAATTGCACATATATGCACATATATGCATAGGGTGTCCTTTTTAGACGTGTGATTTACAACGAAGCAATACTTGGTTAGGAGTTGGTCTCTTGGAAAGACTTACTCCCGAACAGCGTTTGCAAATCGTGTAAATTAAATCCCAAAAGTACGGTTCGGTTCGCGCGATGCATCGTCTAATATTCTGTCGACATAATTGTCGCACAGATTATCGTCGGTAATTCGAGCGATCATGGATCGGTTTCACACAACGCTTACTCTAATGTGCGTACTGAAGACACTTTCACCGCTTTGAAACAGAGTATCGAAAAAGCCCCAAATGAGTTCATCCGTCATCGTTATGAAAGATTTTGTGAATTGATCTTGGTTTGCGGACTAACAAAACTCAACCCTCTAGGTGTATCTCATGAAATAAAGCTCCTGATAAACCTTGGAACGTAATATCAGCCAATCGGAAGCGGCTTGGTATAAACTGGTATAAAACCTCAAATTGGAGGTGGAGCCAAAAGCGTCAATTATATATATGGTTATGACGTCGTTGCATCCTCCAAAAGTCACTGTTTGGTGCGCTCTGCTGGCAGAGGGAATAATCAGTCCATACTTCTTCAAAAATGGCAACGATTATATTGATACAGTCCATAGGTAACGCCATAGAGCTATGATTAATAATTAGATCGTTCGATTTAACACCGCTGGTCTAATTTTTGTGAGGTTATGCGAAGTCGCTTTTCTACCCAGACAAACCCAAGACGATTGACGACTGGGAAGGGAATATTCGGAGGTTTATTGCTGAAATACGGCCCGAATTGCTGCAGAAAAAATGTTCAGAAATTGAGCCAACAGCTGGAAATTGTTCTAGTCACATTCCCGAAATTATTTTGAAAACATATTTGAAAAAAACATAATCCTAATAATCAAGCTAAACTATTGGAACGTAACACCCTTTACATACACAATAGGTTATTGTTAACTGGCTTGTGGCTCTTTATGCTGATTAGGGGTATTCTTCATGTTGCTCCGCTAAAGTAACTGCGTAGAGACTGCGCTAAGAGGGTTAAATATTTTTCAAATTTGGGTTCCATAATTTATATAAACACATTGGAGTTTATAATTTGGGACGACCTTAATGCTCTCTCATACAACTAAAACTAATCGTATCTTGTGTATTCACGGCTAAGGCTAAAATAAGATAAGAGAAGACCCACCTAATAAATATTGTATAACACATTTATTTCCGTTTACATTTACCTTAATCTTGCACGTGTCTTATCTGCAGCCGGCACTATTGTTCAGGGTGATATCTTAATAAACGGCCGACGCATTGGCCCATTTATGCATCGCATCAGCGGATATGTTTATCAGGATGATTTGTTTATAGACACTTTAACGGTGTTGGAGCATATGACATTTATGGTGAGTACAAGAGCAAATGCCGATTCTTAATTATTACTTGTAGTTTTACACTTTCTCTCTTTTCTTCTCTCTCTCTCTCTCTCTCTCTCACTTAATATCTCTTCCACATTTAGGCACATCTCCGTCTCGATCGTCGCGTGAGTCGTTGTGAGCGCAAAGCCATTATAAATGATTTACTGGAACGCACCGGCCTTCTCTCGGTCGTACACACACGAATCGGTTCTGGAGATGATAAGAAAATGTTGTCGGGTGGCGAGCGTAAGCGCTTAGCATTTGCCGTCGAGTTGCTCAATGATCCGGTCATATTGTTTTGCGATGAACCCACCACAGGTCTGGACTCATTCAGCGCACAACAATTGGTGCAGACACTCTATGACTTGGCTAAGAAGGGCACTACAATACTCTGCACCATTCATCAGCCCTCCAGTCAGCTCTTCGATATGTTCAACAATGTGCTGTTGTTGGCTGACGGGCGCGTAGCCTTCACAGGCTCGCCACAGAATGCATTGAACTTTTTCGCCGAAAACGGCTATCACTGCCCGGAGGCTTACAACCCAGCTGATTTCTTGATTGGTGTTTTGGCTACAGATCCGGGTTATGAGCAGGCTTCACAGCGTTCAGCGCAGCATTTGTGCGATATGTTTGCGGTTAGTGGCGCAGCCAAGCAGCGGGATATGTTGGTTAATCTCGAAATACACATGGCTCAGACGGGTGATTATCCCTTCGAGGCGGAGGTGGAAGCTTTTCGTTCGGCTGCTTGGTACAAGAAATTCCATGTGATTTGGTATCGTGCCTCGCTATCGATGATGCGTGACCCCACAATACAGAGAATGCGGTTTTTCCAAAAAATGGCAATGGCTATTATTATAGGCGCCTGCTTTGCTGGTACTACTACAGTTTCCCAGTTGGGTGTGCAAGCGGTACAGGGCGCTCTGTTCGTCATGATTTCCGAGAATACTTATCATCCGATGTATTCGGTTTTGAATGTGTTTCCTCAAGGTTTTCCGCTGTTTCTACGTGAAACTCGATCTGGCATGTACTCGACGGCTCAATATTATGTGGCGAACATACTCGCTATGGTGAGTAAAGTAGTGAGAAATTCACTTTTATTGTTAGTGAACACTGAATAAAGTGGTTCGCGGACTTCCTATCGTTTCTAAATGCCGGGAACGGTACTCTTATGGGACAGTTGGCAAAGCGTATTTAGTTCACCCCGTCTGCAAAATGGTAGATGACTGTGAAGTTCAAGAATTTAGGAGTTGAGGACTCCTGAAAGTGTACATGGTACAGATGTTGGATACGCCGGAGTCTTGCGTGGAAAGATAGGAATATATCCTCTCTGACCTCAATGGGGTTTTGCTGGGTTTATGAGGTTTCTCTCGAGAACTTCATTTGTGTAGGTCACAAATGAAAGATAGACAAAGCTAGAAACTCGTCATAGATTCAATGCGATTGACTTATAGCGGTTCCCTATATTTTGGCAGCAGCGATAGCCCAGTGGTTAGCATTGCGTCGTACTGCCATTCGGAAGGCAAGAAAAATATTTCAGAAAATTAATACTGTCGCCCCTCGGCAGGGAATGTCATCCTCTCCGAGTGTACTTCTGACATAAAATAATAAGAGTTTTTCCTTTGTCTTTCCTTCGTATCAGAGGCGTTTGAGTCGTCGGAGTTCGGAGCACGTGTGAGGCAATTAACTTGTGTCGTAACCCTCTGGCTATTTATAAGCCCCAAGACGAACTCATTGGACAATTTATAGCGTATAAGAACCCAGTTGAGGTCTAATCATTGATGGCTCTATCTAGAAATGAAAATAGTGCCAAGATCGTCCTAGGGCCGTTTTTGGTTTAGGTTCATGAGGAAATTCCAAATCTCACTCTCATGAAATATTTGATAAAAAAGGCAGAAATCTTTGAACCAAAAATATTTTTTTCAAACTTTTCTCTCTCTTTCCAGCTGCCGGGCATGATTGTTGAACCGTTACTTTTTGTTATAATCTGTTATTGGATATCCGGCTTACGTGCGACATTCTTTGCCTTCAGCATAACGGCCATATCCGTTGTGTTGGTTATGAATGTCGCCACAGCTTGCGGTTGCTTCTTCTCCACAGCATTCAATTCGGTGCCATTGGCGATGGCATATTTGGTGCCTGTGGATTATATTTTCATGATAACATCTGGAATTTTCATTAAAATTAGGTGAGTTTTGCTATCGTGTCAATGAGTTTCAATGAACTTCCATTTGCGAATCACAAATTACAATTTGTAATTATGCTGCTAAATATTTACACACGCACACGCACGCAGACACTCATACAAATTACACTTACAGCACTTTGCCAATGGCATTTTACTGGACGCAATTCCTGTCATGGATGTTGTATGCTAATGAAGCGATGACGATTGCCCAATGGTCGGGCGTGCAAAATATCAGTGAGTAAATAAATACATATATACAAAAGTACATGCAAACATACTTGTATATTCAGATGCTTGCTTGCTTTAATGTAAAATTATTTTTAGATTGCAATTTATTTTTATACGGTTTTTTTTAATCAAATTTAATATATATGAAAATCAAAGAATTTTCTTAGACAGTGTTGCCATATTTTAAATTAAATAAATTTTTAGGCAGCAAATTTTTCTCAATACTTTTTGTTTGCAATGTAAGGTGGAAGCGAAGTTTTTAAATTACATTAAAATAAAGAAGAAATTAACCAATTTCCTTGGCAGAGCTGCCATATTTCAAAGCTGAAATTTATTAGCAGAAATTTTTAAATACATACATGTAAAAATAAGGGATTTTTTTCGGCAGAAATTAGCCCTAAATTATTTTTGCAATATAATTGGAAGCAAAAAATTTTGACAGAGTTGCCATATATGTTTCCAATACGGCATGAAAAGAAAATTTTGGGAAAATGTTTATCTTTCTACATTTTTGAGCTGGTTTAATTAAAATTATAGGTTTTTGTAGATAACGAAAAGTAGAAATAGGCTGAATTGAAACATGCTATGTTCAAAGAGTTGCCAAGCTTTCTGAAATTTTATTTTTTAAATATTTTGCACTAAACGGAATGCTGCTCAGGAGTGAAAGTAGTGTCGTATACAGACGATCTCGTTTAGTTACTATCAAGTTTCGCGACGGTTCAACGAGGTTATGGAAAGGGCTAAACCAAGTTTACTTTTATCAGCAGCGAAACATTGTTTTGATGAAAATCCAGATGCCTTTCACGAGCAAACTTGAACCAAATATAGTCATGTGAAATCCCTTTTAATCTACTTCCAATTACCCTGATGTCAACTAAGAGCATTAAGGTTAATTTTCTTACTGTTTAATTTTTTATTTTCTTATTTATTATTTCTTATGACACCTTGCCATACATTTTCCTGCTCCTTCATCACTTAACTGCCCACCTGCGCAACTTATGCAAATATTTTACTTCATTTTCTCGTTTATATTTTCTTTCACTCGCCAACAAGTGTTTAATTTCACATTAAATTTCACTTGCTTAATGGAATTTATGTATTTTTCATTAACGCGGACCGCGGTTGCCACTCTTGCGGTCCACCGGTAGCACGCTCGCCACTGTCCTACTTAAATAAGGCTTGTGCAGTTGTTGTAGGCCATGAATGGGCAGTATATTTAGCAATTTAAATTTTTAACTTAAGCAGCCTTCCCATATTTGCATATACTCATACATATTGTACATAAAAATTTTGTTGCAGGGAATTCCTCCAATTTTTTCCTTAAATTTGTATAGGGTAATCCATTTGTAGTGGTTTCAAAGGCTCATGGCTCTATTTTGGCATTTGTTTAATTTAACGGTGAAATCAAATAGGTTTTGTTTTAGATAAAAGTTGTGACAAATGTGGTCACGTAATATTTTTAAAGAGAATTAAAGAGACAAAAACAGTTACAGATATTGTAAGGCCTGTCACCTGCTCGTTTCTCCCCAAATATCGCTACTGTAAGTGAAGCCGCAGACACAAATGTGTCTATTTCTCGTCGTTCTCATGAGCTGGGAATTTTTTTTATTTTACATTTTGACGAATTTTGCACTTGGACAGCCAACCATGACCATTCACAACGCCGTACATCATTTCGAAAAAAAACTTAATTCGGCGACGCACATATTTCTAAGTCGGTGGATGCGCAGCGAAATTGTTGCTTTCGGGTAGCCGAGAATCTCAAATAATTGAAGTGAGGACATTGACGAGGCGGTAAATTAAATGATGTAGTATTTCACTGCAAATGCAAAGGATTTAACTTTAGAATAAGAAAAGAATTTCTTCAAAACAAGTATTTTGCTTTTGATTTACGCTTATTTTCGAAACTACAAAATGGATAACCCTGTAATCAAATTGGTGTTGAAATTTATTTCTTATACTTTCTTTTATCTTTTATCTTTCATGTATTTATTTTTTGCTCATCCACTCTTCTCGCTCTACATTACAGCCTGCTTCGAGGAGAGCGAGGACTTGCCGTGCTTTCACACCGGTCAGGATGTGCTGGACAAATATAGTTTCAATGAAGCGCATCTCTACAGAAATTTATTAGCGATTGTGGCTATTTACTTTGGCTTTCACATTTTGGGTTATTACTGTCTGTGGCGTCGCGCTAAGAAGATCTAAGGCGACGAGTAGTTTTATAGGCTGCGCGGGTCAAGGTTGAGATGCTTGCGGTCGGAGGCGCGTTTCGTGTTCGAGTACACTTTTTAAATGAATTTCACCATTGTTTAATTAACAATAACACGCATACTGACATACATACATATGCTATAATTATATTTTTATATAATATTTACTTGTTTGTATATGTACATATATGTATATCTTGTGAAAACTGCCATTTATGTACTTATTTAAATGAGATTTATTGCTGGAGATGTTGCGTTTTATTTCTTTCAAATTTATTATTCCACTCTTTAAGTGGAATTTATTAGCTGTTGTAGTTGTTGTAGTATTGTAGAGTATGAAGATGGCATGGAGACAATTAAGTTAAATAAATAAAGCTTTTAATCTGGCATTTTAGTGATTTAGCTTTCAGAGCCGTAGCCGCCAGGGCGCTGCAGGTGGAGCACTAAATGCAGATAATCACCTGATAATATTCAGACGATCAAAGAAGTGGCGGAAATTTTTTACTGTCATTCACATGATGGTAATGTGAAAGAATTTCGCTCTATATCACTCAAGCATTTCACCATGTCTGGTCATACTGTAGAGGCAGTCCAGTGCTAACACACACATGAAGAATCTTCCGCAAGGAAAATATGCTAGAAAAGCGACTAATCGCTTACCACAATTTGGGTGACAACCATTGCAAACGTCTCGAGGATCAAACTGTATGTTTTTCACATGGAATATCTGGGAAATTGTTGTTGTGGAGTAGGTTGATGCCCGCGGGAAGATTAAAACTGACACCAGCGCAGTTTAAGAAAAGTGATGTACCCAACACGCGATGGTGGTTCCTTGTGAAATTGACCACTTCTTCTTATTCTTCTTCTTTTTCTTGGCATAGGCGATTACACGCGAGCCAATTATTACACGCCAGTCATTTTTCGTTTTTTTTTCAAGCCAAGTTCTTCCTCATCTGAACCTTCCTCTACCTGTGATTCCACCGTCGCATAATGTGTCGAAAACTTTCAAAGCTCGTGTGTGTACGGGTGATGAAAGAAGCGCCTTTCACTTCATACGCTGAACTATGTTGATATCGGCCGCATTAGTAGAGTGGTTAGCAGTGCATACTAACATTCGGAAGCTTAAGGTTGAAGCCCTATTATATTATAAAAATCAATTTCTGTTTGATGTCGCCCTTCGGCAGGGAATGTCAAGTACTCCGAGTATATCGATTTTTCGGAGCCGACTTAAATAAGCTGGTGGTCATTCCTTTTTGTTGAAAAAAACTTCAAGACGCAAACCACAATGGAATAGCTTTGTTACCTGGAAATAGCTCAGAGCCCCGGACAATTTACTCTAAATACATTTATAAATCTTCTTTACGCCAAAGGGATCACCAGCCAATTGACAGAGATTAGTATGATTTGGATGATCTATGCTTACCGTGCGTAGGTATGATCGCTTTGCATTTTTATTATTCTGCGGCAGCGGGGTCATCTTGAGTGTGGTAAGAATTTCACCGAATGGCGTGTTTGGGTTACTTCAAAGCACTCATATTGATATTTTCATGAAGGACTCAAAGCTACAACAAATAAATAATTCTGCTTACGTTTTTTCTTCAAAGTACAAACATTAAAATTTTTTTGTTTAAATATTTTATTTTCCTTTTGATTTGCTTGTAAACATTTTATTTCATTTTTAATTAACAGCACATATTTTTTTATATTTATATTTAATAATATTCAGTTATAGTTTTCTTTAATTTACAATACTGCTTAAACATTTGGTAAACTTTATTACATTGACATACATAAATAACATACAACACAGAGATCATATATTTCAGCTTAGTTGTTGTTCCTTGTATTTTTTGTACTTAAAATATAGGCTTTAATGTATCTTTAAATTTAATAAATATTTTTGTATTGTACAAAGAGATTATTCCTATATAGTGGTATACATAAATATAATATATATATATATATATACACTTAATTTAATTTTTATTTATTCATAATAATAAAACAAAGAATTATAATTTTATTTCATCTATTGGAATAGACGGCGTTCATTCTAATTTTTTAAATGTTTACCTTATACAGCATATGCCTTGAACACCATAATGTTTGAAGTCGGCAAAAGTCATGCCAATTAAGAAATCTAATGGAGACTTCAGGCCTATCGCAATATTATTATTGTATGCGGCTTTAGATCTAACAGGAGTTGTATAACGGTGCTAATTAGGGTTTCGGATGGCATCAGGCTCAACATAGACAGAAATCGAGTAACGTTATTAACACTTTTGGATCATTCCAAAGATTTTCATACTGTGAACCATGAACTGCTAGCTTTGACAGCAACATTCCTAATAAAATCATATCTAAGTGATCGTTCGCAAGCTGTATGTCTAGGTAATGTTATATCGAACGATTTACACATAACTCAAGGTGTTCCACAAAGATCTATTCTTAAGCCTCTGTTGTTTGTTTTATATGTTATCGACCTTCAAAGTGTATTAAAATACTGTGACATCCCCTTTTGACTCTGTCAATGATTGCATTAATGACCTCAATACCGATTTAAATTGCGTTAGTAAGTGGGCCAGATATAATGGTTTGTTTCTAAATACTAATAAATCGCAGTGCATTGTCATTTACAAAAAGCCCTCAAATTTGGAGGCTACAATGAAGTGAAACTGAATAACTCTGATATTAAATTCGTGGATGCTGCCAGAAATCTAGGAATAATCTTCAATAGAACTTTGTCTTGGAATAACCACATTTATAGTACAATAGGTAAGGTTTATGGCATGCTTCGTGCTTTATGGACTATTCAGCATTTCGCATAATTAAAAATTCAATTACTATTAGCAAAGACTTTCTTGTTACCCAACTAACTGTATGGTTGCGAACTGTTTGCCAGCTGTGACAAGCTGTGTTGTAGTAAGCTCAATGTCCTCTACAATAACATCGCCAGATACGTATATGGTGTAAATCGTCGTGAGGACATAAATACTTTTGCATTAAAATTATTTTCTATAAAATTCGAAGATTTACTGCGGTTAAAGTGCCTTATTTTACTTCACAAAGTTATTAGCTCTCAGGAGCGCATATATCTTTTAGAACGAAGGAGAGATTGTATTCTGAAAAGCTGGAACTTTCTTACGGCAACGAGCCAACGAGCGACATTCTCACTCGGGTGATACATAAATAAGTCAAATCGTCACATTTGGGGACCCGAGAATCCTCAAATAATCGTTTACCATCGGTACAGAGATATAATTGGACTTTACCGTTTTGAAAACGACTACTGCGTGACTGTCACTGTAAACTGTCGAGGCGTTATGTGCGTAATTAATTTATGTAATAGAAGAACAAGACTTGGTTAATATGTAGAGTTGAAAATTATTACAAACGGTTTGAAGTAAACTAAAATTCGCGGGAAGGTCATGTGACTGATGTAGTGTTTCGCATATAGTGCCAATAAGGCAAAATGGATAACCCTGTAATTTCAGAAATAGTTTTAAAAGTGAGGAGTAGAAAAATGTGTAAATAAATTTTGTGCTCAAACGGCTCGTCTACATGTACATACATACATACATATGTACATTTGCATCACTGCGTTTGTTATTCATTTTAATTAATTTATAAAACAGCAATTAAATTCTATTAACAGCTGGTCGCAAATGCATGGGCACTCTAAGAGAATCATTGACAGCAGTAAACGACAACAAAAGTCATCAGTCATTTTCTTCCTCTTTTTACTCTGTTCCTGCAGTAAAGCGAACTTGTTCGCAACTAATTTTTAACTAGCATGACAACTGGTATTTTTTGGTTATAAATTCACCAGTTTTATACTAGTTACCAAAAAAAATGCAGTCCGCAAATTTAGTTAATATTTCGGTTGCGTATTATTAGCGCTGTCCAGTGAGAAAGAGAGTTGACTTTTACAACGGTTATATCATTAAAGATAAACTTTTGAAACTTCCTTTCGAGTATCAGCATTTTATTACTCGATATAAGTCTAGTTAATGCATTCTTCAGGTTCTTTATAAACAAAGCTCGGACGCCTCATGATTGGAAGCTAAGGGCGCTGTATTCAATCGACAAAAGAATGGAAAGCTTAATCTCTCGCCTGTCATCTAACAAATCAAAAGTAGAATAATTTTTACTAACGAATTAGAGTGAGTAAAATCCTTTAACGACGAATAAGGAACAAATTCTAAAAGCCGCAGTGCGCTTTAGATATATGGCGCAGGGGTCCGTTAGCCCTCCACTCTTTTGGAAAGAGGTGTTGGATTGTATGAAGGAAGCACAGAAGCGCTCAGCTTTGACCAACAAGAGAGTAATTTCGTATCATCAGAACAACGATCTCACCACACACATCGATCAGAAGTTCCGAGAGCTTGGTTATGCATCCACCTTATGCCACGCTTCAAGAGATTATCGTCTGTAAATGCATATTTGACATAAGTCGAGTAGTTTCAAAGTGACAAATAAAGCCTCAATTTAATGCGAAAATAGTGGAATACTTTTTACTCGAGCAATATTTATGTATCATACCTTAAAATATACCTCTTTTAATATTTTTTCCAATTATTTTTATGAACTAAATTTATGCTAATATTTTGAGATTTTTTCCTTTACTACCACTACATAGTTACATACAATCACAGTAAGATATTTATATTTTCAATATTTGCATTTCAGTTTAGTTTTATTTTTCTTCATTTTTTTGTAAAATTATTCTTTGGTTTCTTTGCAACAGTAATTACAGGTAATTGCATTTACATATGTTTATTTGTATAAATTATTTAAATAATTAATTTCTGTTAAACTTTCTTTCTTCGCTCATCTTAATTATACGATAGCAATTTAATTAATATAAAAAAATCGTTTAATGGTCATAAATAAATATGCAAAAGTATGAGAAAGGGAGTAAAAAAGGTTTAAAAGCTGTATGCACTGCGCGTCATAATATAAACATACTTTTTGAAGAAAAAGACTCTTGCAATATGAAATTCAAAGCTCAAGAGAAAGTAGTGGAGAGAAGCATTTTTTTTAACTTTTTTAAATTTTTTAAATTTTTTAAATTTTTTAGATCTTTATATTTAGACAATCTTGATATGTCGCACAGTGTCACTAAGTTTTTCGAATTTGCATAAAATTATTTCTATGCATATATAACTTGTAAATCAATATTTGTATGAATAACAAATTAAATTACATACATTTAATGCATTTTATTTTTGAATGTTTTATATGCGCTTGTTCAGGCATGCACTCATTCATATGTGTATGTGTATAAACATATGACACTGTGTGCTTATATTTAATTTAGTAAATTTTCGATAATAATATATGCATGGCTTTTTGAATTTTTTTTCTCGATTTTTTTTCTTAATTTTATTTGGAAATGAACGGTTAATGTTGCGTAAACAGCCACAAATTGACAGAGTTGCTTAGTAAATATTTTTTTTTTTTAATTTTTTATTTTTTTTTCTAGCTTCTTTATTTTTAAAATGAGCTTAGCTGCCTTAAATCTTTTGTTATATAAGTATATTACATTTTGTCCTGACTTCGTCCGTATTTAACTTAAAAACAAATATTTTTTTATTAATTTTTTTTTTCATTATTTATTCATTAAACAAATGCGTCCATAAGTTTTTTATAATTTCTGGAAAAACTTCAAGATAACAACACAATTGAAGAAGGTTCTCGGCCGAAAATCGTTTCAGCGGTTAAAAAGAACAATTGTTTATTCATTCCAAAGATATCAAGCGATTCCAGCCCAAAATCGGATTATTTCGAACAGTCCGGTTCCTGATCCGCTTCCCAAAATGACTATGACCTCTTTCCCACGCCCAAACTTTCAATTCGGGCTTTTACTGTCAGCAAAATAGTTGTCTCAAAAGTCGAAAAAAAACCCCAGCTTTGGCCAACAGGAAGAGAATCGGGTTTTATAAGGAGATCGCCAGACCACATACATCGATAGAGAATCGCCAGGGCCTCTGAGAGAGAAAGTGATTTATATTCTATTTATATGAAATCGAGACAAAGAGCTATCTAATGTTTCACTTCCTGGAGGAAAAAGTTTTTCCATGTCAATTTACGCCAAAAACAACCGTTGTACTAAACTTCATCTAAATCGATCAAAAAAAGATAAATAAAATTTTTTTGAATAGATAGTTCGCAAATTGGTCTTATCTACTCTCTTCTTAGCGAATTTCTCCACTTATTCAGACCAGAAATGGGCAGATGTTTTCATGTTGATCGAGGCGCTCTCGCTTTCCTCGTTGCAGCGCCATACAAAATTACTGGAAAAATCAGAAATTTATACAGCATAACTTAAGTTCATTGAAAGGCGTCTGCTTTTCTTTTGCCTGCCGCATGATCTACAAGATGACGCTATTGATGGTGATGATGCGGGATCCTAAATAGACCAACTGTTAAATTCCTTTACAACTTCAAAGTTTTAGACGACAACAGTTGCATGAGACTTTTTGTTTGTTGTCGGAAGGTAGTTTATTATTCCTCGAATACTCCTGGACGAGCTCCTTTCGCCAGGTGCATTAACAATAACAATATCGTCTGCTTACATCTAAAGACTCGCACCTTTAATGAATAAAGTTGGTGAATTTGTAGAAGCTCGAATGTTTTTGACTGCCATTCATCTGGGAATGGGCTGCTATCCTCTGGGTAGTCAAGAAACATGTGTTTGGAGGCGAACTAATTGTGAGAAGGCAAACCCTGGTGGGGCAATTTCTACACAATCCGCTTAAGGGGAAGCGTCTCTTCATCACTAAGTGCGGCTGTAAATGACCGTCTGTCAGCAATGCGTAATGAGCTGGGTTTGGGACCCGCCACAGAAAAACAAATACCAATGAAAAGCACAATGTTTGCAGGTTAGTTTCCTTTCCTATCGTTTGCCTACGTCATGCGCGGAACACATCCTCTAAGTTTCTGCTCTCTACAATCAGTGATATGAGCTGTCTATTGATCCATCAGTCATTCAGGACAAAGTTTAATATATATTATCTATGCATAAATAGATCATAAATAAGTACCATAATTGAGGAGTTTAACTAATAGATTCCTTTTTTATATATCATACATGTAACTAATATATATATATATATATATTTTTTTTTATTAATTTATTTACCATACACGTACATATTTACAGTTTTTGTTTTTTGTTGTTTCCATTGTAATTATTTCTTATGATTTTGCATTTAAATGCATGAAATTCTTTAAATTCAATGGTTTTCAACTATTCCAATAACAACAACAAATCAATAACGAACAACATGTACAATGCATACATACATAAAATTAACTTATCTAATTACATTTTTTTACAGATTTATATATTTTTTCTTTAATTTTCTGTACTTTTTAACCTAAAACATATTTCTCTATTTATTTGATTTTAGAATTTTTGTTTTTCAAATTCGTAGGAGTTTTGAAACCATTTTGTTTTTGAATAAAATTGTCGATAATTTGGTAAGTAAATATTAGCAGAAAAAATAAATAATATTGAGTGTATTCTATTTGAAATATTTGTGGGTAAAAGTACTGTTGTACTAAAAATAATTTTCTAAGATTTTTACCGTTAGTTTAATTGTGATATAAAAATGTTTAATTTCGTCTCTTCTAGAGTAGTAAATGCGGAAAAAACCTGTCCGGAGGCATTAAAATATATCAGAAAGGAAATAAGTTTAGTTTTATTATTTCGATATTCCGAATTTATGGGCTTATATCCATCTGTATTGGTATACGGTTGCGCAACGGCATCATCACAAAGTATTTTGACGTTTTTGAACTCGCTCGTACTGAATGTAAATCCACTGAAACCTCGAATCGCTGCTCAGGCTATGGATAAGCAACAAGCCATTTAACAGCGCTTCGAAGGCCGACTAGGCTAAGTGTCTCGATCTCTGTCATAAGATGTCTGATGTGGAGATGAGACGATATCTTTGAGACTTAAATTGGTCTTACTTAACTCATATTAGCGTTCTGCAATTGCTGATGCTGTTTTTGACCAAGCTCTCCTCCTCTCTAATTTGCGGTGTGTAGCTCAGAATGGCAGATGGAATTTGATGAGGAGCATTTATTTCCTCGAAGAGGTTGAAAGAGTTTTCTGTGACCGGGAAAGCGTTCCGCTCTTGAACTGATGGGATTTTCACATGAACGGTTGAGAGACCCTTCTAGACCAAGTAGGCTCGGGAAGATCAATGAAATTGAGTGCTGGAAGTGCTTTGAGTATTTATACACTTGATGATGTGGTGATGATGCCAAGTCATGTTTGTTGTGGAAAAGAAGTTGTGAGCCGATTGCAGAAGTGACAGTCAACTTCTGCAAAAGTGGGCGTGGTATTACGGTGTTCAAAAGAAGGCGAAAGTAGAATGAGCTGAAAGCAGGTATTTAGAGACAGCTCTCCTCTGGGTAGATCAGATCAAAATCTTTTACTTTTATGAAAAACCTCAGCATCCGGCAAGTCAAGCTCAGCGACAAGTCGTAGTTTATCATAAGACTTGAAACTGAACCCAAAGATGGGAAGGCGTTCATCAAGACAGTGTCGGTTCAGTTAATCCATGTATCCATGTCCATAATATTTTTTGACTTTTCGGATAAGTAGAGACAGCATAGGAAGTAAGTCGGTCTACCCTTATCAGGGTGTACTAAAAGTCTATATAAATATTGGAATATGGCTTTATCTACATATATACATATATGCAACATTAAATTTCTATTTATTAACTAATTTACCTGCACTTTCCCTTTGCAATTTGATTCGTTTGTTCAATTTATATACACATTCGCTAAGACTACATACATACTTACATACTTACATACCTACTTATAAGTAGTACTTAAGCCTCTTCTGTACATAGTTTCATACAAATACATACAATACATTTACAATATTGGATTTACAATAATAAAAGTGAGAAACTTACAATTTTTGCATTTCTCCAACACTTCCTCAGTTTCAAGTGCTCACATCCTGCAGCATATAGGCGATCGTGCTCTCAGCCGCTGTGTCGCTGCTCTCGCTACTCGAACTGCCGCCGCTGCCGCTGCTGCTGCTGCCACTGCTGCTGAAGACGATCATACTGCGACTGTTGGGCAGCACAAACACCTCACTGCCGGTCAAACCGATGGGGCTCATCGATTGCGAGCTCCGAATGGGACTACGCTTTGTATCGATACGCTGACGTTGGTTGGCAGTTGACCAATCTTGAGGACGCTGCGGCAAGCCATTTTGTAAGACTGTTGACTTAACCGTATCGATGTCTTCGCCGCCGCCACTGCTACCATTCGTCCAAGGCGCTTTGTGGTGCGCATCAGTTGCTGCTATAGCCGCTCTTAGTGTTGCTGTTGTCGAAACAGAGTTGCCGCATTCATCAAAGCTGCCCAATTGCGTTGTCGTTGCGATCGTTGTAATCGAATTGCGTTGTCGGCAAGCCAATTTCTCGGTGCGGAATGTAACAATCGTCTCCTTCTTCAGTTGCTGCAATTTCGCATCATTCGGTCTGAGATTCAATTGTTGCTTATTGCTGAGATCCGAGAGACTTATATTATTTTTCAATAAAATTTGTAGATTTTCAATGGAGTCTTTGAGCGGTGGTGGCGGTAGTTTTTCGCTTTCATCTCTGAATTCCTCCTTCAGTTCGTCCACGTAAGTGCGGGGCTGACTGTTGCTGCGGCCGTTGGAAGAGTTTGCAGAGGTCGTGGTATTCAGAGAACCATCACCACCGCCCAAAGTGCCCTCCATAGAGTTATCCATCGATGAAGATGTCGCTTTGGCTATCGCTGGCATAACGGCTATCGTAACCACACTAGAACTGCTCGATATGGTGGGTGTGAGTGCAGACGTTGAACTGGTTGTGGTGCCGAAGGAAGATGATATGTTGTGCTGACGACAGAGTGACTTACGTCGCTGCGCCGTGGCACTCTGTATATAGGCGTTCAACTCCGCGTCGGGTGAGAGATCGTCGTCAGAATCAGTGCTTACTTTTTTCGGCTCACCTTGTAGTATGGTGGGTGGTGTTGCTGCTGCTAATGCTTCTGTAACCTCGTGGGCTGTCGACTCTTGCTCTTGCTGTTTATCAACAGTTTCTATCTCAGCTAATTTGAGCTTCTCCGTAATGGGCGGCATAACTAGCGGACAACTCTCAGTATTTTTGTTGCTCTCCGTCAAGGTCTCTGCATTCTCAGTTGGCGCTTCGCGTACCGTGTTCAAATTATTCGCCATCACATCTGGCTTAAGTGCTACTTTTCCTTTGAGGAAATACGTAATCATGGAGCCTTTACCCTTTACATTAACGCTACCACGACAGGTGAGCTCAAATCCACGTCCGACCAGAATTTGATATATTTCTTGTGTCACCTGCATGAGTGGAAAAGAAAGCGTTATGAAATGACTGTAAAACAATATAAAAGATGAAATTGCAGAAAGCGCTGAAAGTGGTTTGGATGATTGTCAAAGCAGTAGAAAGCAGTAGATCTCATTCATCATTCATATGGAATGTCATTGATAATATTTATTGTGCTAACGATTTGTTAAGTCTCACTTTGTTTGTATTTATTTATTTATTTATTTATTTATTTATTTATTTATTTATTTATTTATTTATTCTTCTCTCAATTTATTCACATATTCGGCTGCAACATATTGGGTGAAATTACATTATGCGGACTATAATACTATTTGTTATTGTAATAATGAGGACTGCTTAAGTTTGAGAGCCAATGTCAGTTTGAAAGTCATTTTTATTCAATGGCATTACTTTGAGGTTTACGAGCATAGCAGTTACATTATTGTATTTAATTTATGTTTATTTTATTTTTTATTTATTTTATTTGAATTTCTTTATTTTAATTTTTTATTTATTTATTTTATTCTATTTTAAAGAAGTTAATTTTAAATTTTTATTTTAGCTTAAATAGTATGTTATGAACTTAATTTTATTTAATTTCAAAAGTTTTATAAAATCATACAAACGAAAACGAAATAAATATGATATAAATTAAAAATAATTTAAGTATTATTCAATTAATTAAATAAATAATAAATAATAATAAAATAATATAATTATTTAAAATTATATTCAAAATAGTATAAAATATTATAATGAAAAAAAATAAAATAAGGAAATTAATTTAAAATAAATTAAAATAAAAGTAAATGAAACATAATAAATTTAATAAAATGAAAAAAAATATTAAAATTAATTATTACATTTAATACTTTCAATGTTACTTTATTTAATTAGCTATTTTTACTTACTTATTTAATTTAACTTAATATAATTGACTTAAATTAAGGTTTATTTAATTTTTTTTGTTTATGTCATTATTTTTTGTATTGTTTTAATAAAATCTATTTTTTTAATATTATATCATTTTACTTTATTTAAAATTAATTTATTTGTTCCCTTTTATATAATTATTTATTATACATGCACCAACAAGTGCTGTTAAGAGATCTTATATATTTTATTCGATACCTGTATGTGATCTGGCAGCCCTGTGGAGTCCATACGCGAAGCGACATTAACCGCATTACCCCAGATGTCATATTGAGGTTTTCGTGCGCCAATGACACCAGCTACCACTGGACCGATATTGATGCCTTTTGGAATGAAGAAATGAAAAAAAATAAAGCTAATTTAATTTACTTTAATAAATTTAATAAATTTAAAATTTTTTGAATATTTATTTTTAATAATTTTTAGAACTACATTTTTTATAAATTTTTCTGGGTTCTATATACTATTATTTTACTCGGACTCATTTAATGATAGCTTAAATATTTACTCACCTATTCTCAAGCGAAAATTGTTAAACGAATGCATATTGACTTCTTCGATTTTATCAAATAACTGCAGTGCATACTCCGCCATCGCTGTGACGTGAGCGAAATTAACTTGATCGCAGGTATGCGCTGTCAAACCGGAAGCTGCCATGTATGTAGCGCCAGTACTCTTGATCTTCTCAATGTATCTTAATAATGAAAAAGTTATGAAAATTATGAAGAAATTAAGAAATATGAATAAAATAGTAAAAGTTTTATATAAAGTATTTAAGTTTTTTGAGTTTCTTCAAACAAAATTTAATTTTTAAACTAAACTTAACTTAAACTTTTTACTCTTTAATATTTTTAAAATTTTTTTCTTTCAATTCAATTGTTATTGTTCAAAATTTAGTGTTTGCGTATATAGTCCATTCAATTAACTACTTTATTTAACTCACCGAAATCGCTCCTCGCTTAGCAATTCATCAAAATCGGCGATAATCTCGTTGAGTAAGCGTAAACATTCTACACCTTCATTATTGCCCTCGAGTTCAACGTAGAATTCCGAAAAGTTCGGTATCGACGCAAACAAAATACACACACTATCACATTGCTCGTGATAGAGATCCTGTTGATGCGTGTATGTATGTATGTGTGTGTGTGTGTGTGTGAAGTTTTACATGTAGTGGTGACGGCAACAAAACCAGTCAACAGCCAGTGGACAATTGCGTTTAGGGCACCGTTGTTGTTGGTGTTGTTGATGACGATGATGACAGCGACGCCGAGTGTGAACGGTGATGGTGGTTCGGTGGTGGTGAGCAGCAACCGCACACAATACAAAATACGAAATGGCATATCCAATGTAACGGTACAGTTATTGTGGATTATTTGGCATTTGTTGGCGTTAGTTGGCGTTTATTGAGTGGCAGTGAAGTGTTGATTGTTGATTTAGTGGTTGTTGTGGTAGTCACGTCGGTGTTGGTAGTAGTGAGATTCATGTTGCGTTAATGGAAAATATATCCATGCATAAGCACACACACAAGCACGCACACACATTCATATTGGTTGTCAGTTTTTGTTGTGACAGCATGTGGAGATGAATATAACGGAAATAAAGGAAACACGTTAATATTTATTAAATTTGGCGCTTGAGAGAATAAATAGATAAAAATGAGATTATTTGTAGATATTAAATAATATACTTTTGCACTTAAGTGTCTGTCGGGAATTTACTGTATGCACTCAACCGGCTGGATATTAAGACAAGCTTTAACTGTGAAGCAAAGGAGGAAGTCAAATTATATTATTCACAGTCGGGATTCAATAATGTCTTCAGGAGAGGTTTACCATTAGAGCGTTGATTGGCGATAGGAGCTATGCAATAGGAAGGAACTGTCTCAATCTACCTGATCTGCGAGGAACTCAGCAGCATTTCCTAAAAGGGATCATATGAAATCACGTTCTTCTGTCTGAGCACCCTTGGTTATGTACACATCCTATTCTAAAGCAACCATAGCTGGGAAAGACATCGAAAGTCTGACAACGTTCTTACGAGCTTAATGTATGGCTGAATTGGTCACTTTTATTGGAGCGAAAATGCGGAGCGAAATAAAGATCAGGATGATGTTTGGTTAAATTATGTTAAAGTGGTTGGAGAACATCAGCGCTCTTAGGCCACCAATCGTAGTGATTGCGATACACCCGGGATTCTACCCACTAGTTAAACTAATTTACACCTGCTTTTTAGTTCTAGTCTCTAAAAGATGCCACCCGCAGAGGCTACAAAGTGCCTCAAGGTTTCAGGTTATTCCTGCTCTTTAAAAGTTCATTGTTTAATGGTACGTCCAACCTCACTACATACCTGCCTGATTAAATACCCAAAGTTATAGATACCTCCTATATTTTTAGTGCGTTACGCTCTTGTGGCGTTATTTAATCCTCTGATGGCCACCTCTACCTTGTCGCCTAGCAACCATTGAGACTTCTATTCAAGAGTACAGCATACTTAAACTCTTCCTTGATGGTGAACCCGGAGATTTGGTAAAAACTACTTAGTCATCGCGTTAAGTGATCAGCAGGAACTCCGCACTGCTATCCATTTAACCGTTTCAGATTCCAGGGTTCCTAATGCGGACTATAATAAAGGGATTTAATTTGCTGAGAGAACCATTGAACATAGCCAATAGTCGCCAGTTCCGCTTGACAAACATTGCAGTGTCCCGGCAAGTAAAAAGATTTGGTAATACCAAGCTCACTTGAGTATGCTTCGTCATCGACACTGTTATCCAGTTTAACGTAAAACTGAATCGAATGTGTATTTACTTTTAATTTCCTATCCCATTGGTATCTGTCAGCGATATCTATCTCGAAATCAGTCGTAAAGTCTGTAAAGGCGGAGCAGGCGGAACTCTCTTAAAATACTAGTATTCATTCAAAGAGGGGTTTGAGCACACTGTAAGGCCAAGAAGTCTTAACTCATCAGAGCCTTGCTATCGGTTCGGTTCGATTAAAACGGAGATGGGAACTATTTATTTAGTCAAAACTCTTAGTATGTTATTTCTGATACTGAAAAGAAAGTCTGAGCAATCAATGTTGGCGGAATGAGTATTAATTCGCTACTCAAACATTTAAAAGAGTCGTGAATTTCAATTTGGGCTTGCATGATCGCAGGAAAAGAGGTCTTATATGCCCAGATAATCTTCAAGGGATGATAAAGTTAGCTCGTTAAGTTGGGATGGGTTATTGACCACACCTCTTATCTAATTATTTAAAAAAAAAAGCTAGTAGGACCTGGCAAAATAACTCTCTCTGTATAAGCCTTTTATTTGAAACTTCACAATTATTAGAAGAATTCTGATACTGCTTAGCAAAACTAACGCTTAAGCTGCATAAAGAATGATTTATATGCTTGCATTACTACCCTCTAATTCCTTTTCAATCTCCCGTTTTTATTCCCAAGTTTTCTTTCACCTAAGGACGCAAACTCGTAAAGCCAGAAACTACGATTTAATGTAAACAATTTCCACATAATTTTTCAATTTTCCTTAAATGACTTTTCTTTGACAAAATGTTATATATATAAATAGTGGTATGCTCTCTTATGATCTCTGATGCTTGCCGTGCAACATGTTGGTCACCAAAAAAAATATGATTTTGGTAATCAAAAATGTTACACTTGAATGCAGAGAATCCACTGCCGGGTGTGCATGTATATAGTTTGCAGGGTGTACATGGTTATGTGTGTAGTTGTTGTGCTGTACTTACATCAATATTTTTATCCCGACTAAGGAAATGTTCCGCAACATGAACAGGCAAAATATTCTCCAGCAACTTGCGATTGTACGCTTGTAAATGCTCCATATCCTCTTTCTCCTCTATTTTTATGTATTTTATTTAATTTTTTTTCGCAAAGGGAAGTTGTGCGCACAACAGAGGGAGAGAAAAAAGAGTTAAGTTTAAGAAAAATATGAAAAGCAATATTTTTATTAAATATACACATATATAAATACTCGTATGTACGTGTGTGGATGAGAATGAGAGTATGCGTTGGCAGAAATTTAAAAAAAAAATATCAACGAAAAGAAAATATGAAAAATATTGTGCAGCAGTTATTTTTCTCTGGATCAACAGCATATGCACATACATATATGTATGTCTGTCACTATGTGATGGACGAAGTGCTTGAGTGCATCAGCATTTAAATATTGCGGACGAGCTATACAAATATATAAATATGTATTTTATATTGCAAATAAAAAAAGGAATGAAAAAATATTTTTTTTTTTCGTCTTATGCTTTGGCTTGCTTGAAGGATTCACCGCATCTGTTCTCTGTTCTCTGGGTGCTGGTTGGAAGGGAGAGCGCTGCTGTTGCAAGGTCATATTGTTGACATGGTTGACATAAATGGCAATCATGATGGCGTTGGTGATGGTGCTGATGATGGAAGCCTGGTTTGTAGCGTGAATAGCAGACGCTAGTGTATGCATATATATTTGTATATATGTATTTGCAAGTGTAGCTGTATGTTACTTTAAAAAATTGGAGTGGCAGCTGTTGGCAAGCAACGCTGGTTAGCTGTTAGTTAGATTGAGTAGGTGGCTTGGTGGCGGCCGCTTTCCTGATTCACTCTCTGCCTGACTCTTTGATGCGCTGACTTGCGCTTGGCTCACTTGAATGGTTGACTGACTGCATGCAAATGCAAATCAAGTAAGAATTCTTACGCAGCAGCAATGCAGAAGAAGAATATCATAAACTGAAATTTCGAAGAAGGAATTGTACGCAATATGCAGTCTGCTTGCCCCTGCCGTTGTTCTTGTTATCGTTCCTGCAACGGCTTGACAGCTATGAGCCATTGAAACTAACAGTTAATGTAACGCTTCTCCTTCGTGATTCATATAGTATTAAGAATCGGCGGAAATGTTTTAGCGTCGCATTTCCAATTTGTTGCATTTCCCCATTACGTTTTCTTTGAATCCCTACAAGTAATTCCCTGCCCTTACCTCCATACTGACAGCCACCACAGCCACCACAGCCACTTTATTTGTTGCAACATACTCATACATATTTCTTTGGTACGCCACTCGTAATTGAATTTCAATACAAAAAATAAACACGAAAATTTCAACTGCAAACTACGCAGCTGTGCGTCAACAGTGGTATCTTGGAGGGACGCCATGGCGTATGACTTACTTACTTATACTTCGCACTTATATATTTAATGCGTTTGAAAAGTTTGCTTGTATGTCTCAATTGTTTGCTTTATTTTCCTGATTATTGTTGTTATTGTCGTGGCATTGAATTATTAATTAGTTAAATATTGACACTCAACGTGGCAGACATATGCGACACTGACTTCTTTCTTATTTGATGGGGAACAGTTTACAATAATATATAATGCGAAAGGATATTCGATTAAAATAAGGTAAGCAAACAGGGAGAAAAACATTTGAAGCAATGAGAAAAGCTGATGGATTTTCATGGGAAATTTCAATTTAATGTCAGAAATAAAGAGCTTGACATCCCTACAGAAGTGCGACCGCTATTAAAAAAGTTAGTCCTAAAATAATTTCACCGTTTGTGTTCGATGCGGTGACCTTGTTATTCTTACTGAATTCTACCGATATAGACCTATCTGCTCTGAGCATACTCTTCCCCTCTAATCCAAGGTGCCAAGCACTTCCCATCCCTTTCTAGCGCTCGAAATTAAAAAGGGTACACCGCCTTCGAAAGATCTCATCGCAATAACTCAACCATGAAAATGACGCGAATGGATATTTGTTTGTTTATAGTCGCCTTTCTCTAAGGACCTACGGGAATCACTGTTAAGTCTCAAGAGTGAAAGCAGGCCCAAGTGGCGGAAAAAAGCTTTTCTCCCATACGTCAAAACAAACCTGCCGGTCTTACCAGGCAACGCAGAGCCCATAAAATAGTAAAGGCAAGCAGCTTGCTCATAACTCTAAACGGGCTCACCTGTAAACTTAAATCCTGAAGAAGTAGGGCTCAGTGACTTAGATTTTAGTTGCCTGTGGAATTTGGTGTTAGCAATTAATGTGAAATTGTAACTTTCGTATACAGCGGAAGCTGAACACTGTTACAGTCACAAGCAAGTTAAAATTAAAACTCTGATATTCTACTTGACATTGGTTTTCTAAAATGCAACTACTTAACCTTAAAATCCAGAAACACTCTGAACAAGCACTCGAAGAAATATACCGCAGAAGTGAGCTGAGTGCCCTCACAGATGGATACCTCAGGCATTTGCATGAGGCGAAATGCCAAGAAAATGAACTTTGTTCAAAGGGAAGGTTGAGAAGATGACTAATGTGCTGTCATAAGTTAGATTTTTCATTACGTTCCACATTCGAGTGACCTGGAACTTAATTGATATTCACTATTTTTCCTCTCACACCTTTTTTAAAAAGATTCCTAATTTAGCATTTTCAATTATGTCCATTGTTTGTAAGGAAGACAGTTGTATTATTGAGTTAAAAGGTATCTTTGGTTGTGTGGTTCCAGAAGAGCCACGCTCTTGCGCTTACTTCGCATTTGGACCCATCAGTAAAGGCAGAGCATAGTTCTTATAGTTCTCATAGCACACGCACCCTTTAAAGAAGACGAATTTCTTTAAAGCAACAATTTTCCATATGGAATACTGTAATAAGTAACGGTTGGTTAGCTATGGGTTCTTCATACCCGTGCGGGACTTGCACATTTTCCTTACTTGGTTTACACCCTACACAGTAATTAGTTAAGCTAAAGATTCTTTCAGAGTACTTTCTGTCGAGAAATATTTCGATTTTCTCACCCCAATAGTAATGCAAATATGTTTCACAGACTATTTACAAAATGATGTTGGACAGTCACGCAAAAACTTAAGCTTCGGTTGCTTGTACTTTCACAACATCATCTTCAGCTATCCCATATGGGAAAAGCTATATTGTGCTCTTAGAGATCTCTAAGAAGATTAATGTTCAGCCATTGCGGCATCAACTGTGAGTCACGCAAAATATTAAGACAAATAAAAAGTTGTTGAAACATTAGCATTTTGCAGAGATTTCACTGGATCCTCAAAATATCCTAAGAATGAAGACTAAAATATATACCCTGACCGTCGTCTTTAATCTCATTTAACTATGGCATACCAAAATTTATCTTTTCGACCAGAAATATATGTAGATAAAATGGAGTTTAAGACAGAATAGCTAGCTAATTGTAGCCCAAGATTTTGCCAGTTCTAGCATAGTTTTCTTTTCAAAGACAATAATACAACATTTTCATACTAAAGTTGCGTATACGCCGTGGCCAAAGTTAATTGTAAGCAAATAGCATCTTCTTTTAAGTATACGCCATTTCGGCATATCTGCTTTTCTTTCTTTCATTATAATACTCTTCTCTTGCCATGGTACTCTTGACGCTGAAATTATCTTAATGAAAACATTTCTACGCAATACAATTCAATTAAAAGGCATGCCATTACTCAGTAATGTGAGGTGAAAAGGTGCTGCAAGTAAATACTTTTTCTCGCATTTTACTTTATTTAACATTCTTTGAATTTCTTTATATGACTGTGTTAGTTCTCTCGCTCTCACACTCACCTGTGGCTTGCAATTTCCAAATGAAATCGAGACGATAAGTGGCCTCTGTCTGATGACTGTGAAAAATCAACGCCAACATAAAGGCAAATAAGAAAATCGAATCAATTATATAGCGCAGCAGAGCCTCCTCCGCGCTGCTCGATGGCATCGTTTAAATGTTGACATGTCAAAGATAATGAAAAGGCCAATCAATAATAAGAAAGCAACAGCGTTGATGGTTTTGAAGAGTCCACAGTTGATGACACGCAGTTGGTTTGATGCAGCCGAGAAGATAATTGTTAAAAGAGAGAGAGAGACCCGTAAGCAGATTGAGAAAATACTTGAACCGAAAAAATGTTTTTTCATATGGACAAAACATAGAAAATACAGTAAAATAATATACTCTAAAACAAAGTAAAAGTAAAAAATAAAGTAAAATAAAATAAAAGTATTAAACAAATAAATTAAAATAAAAATAATAAAAACTAAATAAAATAAAACTAAGTAAATTAAATTAAAATAAATAATATAAACTAGAATTAAAAAAAAAACAATAATAAAATAAACACGGCACACATGTAGCTTAATAGAATAATCATAGGCTCATGCTGTGGGTAACCCAACTTCGAATCCTTTTCGAAAAAAAGTTGTCTGGAAAGAGAAGTCTGATGAGGAAACGTGGTGGTTTCCGAAATAGCAGCTATAACTTCTACCATCCAAAACTATTGTTGTAATTTTTTCACTATTTCCCAAAAGATATATATGATTTGAAACAGTTCCACAAAAAACCTAAAAATAATTAAATAAATAATAAAACAAAATAAAAAAACTTAAATAGAAAATAAAAATATAAATAAAAATGGCGAATCAAACTGCAATAAAATAAAATAACACCAAATGAAGAAAAATTTACAAATTCTTTCATTAAACTGTAAAATATAGGCTTTCAAAACTTTCACTCACTCCAGTATGAAGCGCACATCCTTACGCATATATAAATACAACGAGAAACCTGTATAGAATGTGGCAACAAATAATAACAACAACAGTTTCAATACAATCCGTAACACCTGATAAGTGGCACACGTCATCATGGAGAGCAGCGTCAGCAACAGGAAGGTCTATGGAAAAAAAATAAAATAAAATAAATAAAAAGTAAGCAATGGGGGAAAAAAGAAGAGAAAAATTTAATTTTAATATATTTCTCAGAAGGAGTCGGCGGCCCCTGCTGTCTGAGTAGGACTTAATAAACTTTACTTATTGAACTACAAAAGGCCATCAATGAATATTTATACAACAAGAACAGCAATCTTTTGAGTACTTAATATGAAAATTGTTTCCAATTTATTGATGTGATAGTGAAGAAAATTAAATTTAATATTAGCGGGCGTCAGTGGTATGTAAAGTATTTGAAATTTATTGCAGTCTACAAACAAATAATAATTTCATTTGAATGATGCTAAAAAATATATATAATTATTTTGAATTTTTTTTTTATATAAATGTTTGAGTTCGATATTTGAAACTATTTCCTACTGTTCTTAAATATTCAATAAAAAATATTTTTCAAGTGCCGTTCGCGTATACATGTCTATATAGATATGTATAGTATATATGTATATAAAAAACATTTTTAATTCTGAAATAGTATGTATTCTGTTGATTCTACTTACATTGATCGCTAAGAAATAATCGCAACTAAATGCAACACCACCAGTTGACGGCTCCATTGCCACAAAATCGTGTTCTAAATCTCTAATTTCATTTGTTATTGTTTTTGCTGAAAACTCATCGATAGATTCAGGTATGTTTTCTTGACTGTCAAAATGCACATTATAGACGTTAAAGAAGATTTCATAAGCCTGCAAACGAAAAAAATATAATATAAAATTCATTTTTTTATTAACGGTAATTCATGCTCACAAAAAGTTTCAATTTGAACTATTGCACTTAAATAAGTTAATCATAATTACTCATAGTAAAAGAGCTTTTACATTTTCATTAAAAATAGAATTTAGACACCAACTTGGATGAAAATAAATCTAAAATTTGCCAAAAAAAACTTTTTGTGGTTTCAACTAATTAATTTAATTTAAATCTCTCTTACGTAATCGTCAAACTTTAGCATATACATATATGTGAATGTAACGAAAGCAGGAAGATTAATTCTATTACGATGATTTAGTGCTTCGTTTGTTGGTCGAAAAAAAATATAATTTTTGCGTATTCATTGTAGATAAGAAGAGGAAGCATCGAAAAAATGAAAGTGCAAAATATAAGCCTCTACAGTGGCATGTGCAGTTGAATAATATTTGCTCTTACAATCCAATATTGAAAAATTTTAGATCATTACCAGGTTAGACATTTTTAAAATAGATAAAGTAATCTTTGGTGTAAGATAAACTCATGTGAATTGTGAATGAGATTAAAACCAAAAGTCCCCAAACTGACGGATGTTTATCAGTGTGGCTCTAGATCTCCTAAATCTACTACATACCGCTCTGACAGTACCTAAACATATTCCTCAGAGCCACTTTTACCAAACGAAGCTTCAGAAAGGGTGATGACGCTTTATCGGAAGACTTCTTTAGCTTAATGCTAGAAAAAATAGTAAGAGCTTCAGAGCTAAATCGACAGAGTAAAATCAATGCCCAACCCTGCACCCTCTCGATCGTGATGAAGAAACGAGTGTAGAGGTCTGGTAGTGGTGGGGAGCTCGACGGCAATATCCCCTAGGATGAAACAAACAGTCGTCTATCTAAGAACCAGCATAAACTTCATTAACAATGTCAGCCTGGAAGTCCAACGTAGAATCATTCAGCATTTGTTACGTTGCACTGAGTAGGTAAAGTCCTCTTCCACGAAGAAAGGCCAAACTCTTCAAGTGGTTCAGCAAACGCCAACGTAATTATAACAACATTCGTTGAGCCGGTGTTCGTGGTTTTCAAAAGGGAGTCTGGAGAAGTTTTAAGGTCCTTAGCTCAACAAAATACACGGAAAAATTGACTTAACACAGTTCAAATAAATTAATATACAGCGGCTACGCTAGCCGGGTCATGTTTTGGGAGCACTCCACTTTCGATAGCATTCCATGCACTACTTACAGGTGGAAGCAAAAAAAGAAAAAAAACCATCACTTACTAGGAAAACGCTGATGAAGCAGCGAAGCGAAGATTCGACTGGGGCGCTATTGTGTATTCGACTACAATTGCTTAAGCGGTGCTAAGTAAAAAGAAGAGGAATACAATTTACAGGTTTCTTCTCAATACTTCCCCAATTCCAATCTTGCTTTTTACGCTTATTAATCTTACGATTCCCCATTGCCTCATTGGTGCCATATTGGTCCACACTTCCAGCACAGCTTAGTGCTGTGGCATACCAAATTACCTCTTAACGCTATCTGTCAACTGAATCTCTAAAGAAGATCACACATTCAGTCGATTTCGGTTAACATTGCTTTTGTTTTTAAATTAACTCACTTTTTCATGATTGTTGGTCTAAAGCCTGAGGATCTCAGCCCTTTAATCCTATCAAATTAAATAATAACAATTTCTCTGAACTTCAAGATTATCCGTTATGGCAATCATTGGACTCTCCTCGTAAGAGCATCTCAACAAAATTCTTGTCAAATCGGTACTACAATTCCACATGAGCTCTTAAAGCAAGCTCCAAGTCAGCTTCTTCTTTAACAAATCGAAGTCCCGTCGTTTAATCGTATTGAGTTTGCCTCTTTCAGGGCGCGCCAAATTTACTGGTAGAATCACTTTTACTGACTGTTTTCAAAACTATGACAGGAGTCTGTTATTAAATTCACACACACACATACACACACACGCAAATCCATGTAGTGCAGTAATTAGCCACTGTTTAGCTTTCATTTAGTAAGATTAAGGAAATGTCCCTACAGATTCTCACATTTATCGCATTCTTATGGACGCTTGGGCGGAAATTACTTGCACATTAGCCTACTAATAGCAGCAGCGGAGAGTCCTGACATGAAAGAAAAGAACATATCTACTCAAAATAAAGAAGAACACGAAGAACAACAAAAAAAAAGACGCGAAAGATATTATCTTAGTTATTCGCAAGAAGCCACAAGTGCAAACAAGTTGCCATACTAAAAGTTTCATTAAAACACTATAAAATGGCGATAATAACCTAAAGCGGCATAAACAGGCAATACCCACAAATGTGAGTGGCTTTGTTGTTGTGGACCATTATAGCTACAAGTATAAGGAGAAGCCATAAAGAGAGCAAAGTTTTCATGCAATTTCAGTACTTTTCATAAGCAACCTCAGTAATGGGCTTCATCGACAATTTGTACGTGGCATGACGTGGGCGACCTGCGCCGGCGTGTAAAGGGCCAATTTGTGTAGCGCATCAATGTCTGTCCGTATATCTGTTTAAAGGGCACTAACGCTTTGTAATACCATGTGTAACTATCTGTTGTGAGCGTCTTATGAGAGAGTGGATGTTTAAGTCTTTAAAGTGTCATTTCAGTGGTTAAAAATGTGAAAATTCATAAATGGAATTTAAGTTTAAAAAAAACTTTTTTTTTATCTTTTTTTAGAAACATTTTATTTAGTAGAACTAAGACACAACTTCAACGTAAAAAAGTCTGATTATTATTATAATTGTGTGAATTATATGGCAGCGATAAGTGGGTCATTTAGTTAGAGTTTGCCCTCCATACTCAAACTCCTCCGCAATGGCAACAACAGCAAAAGCAAACGTCAAATTTTGATGCTTGAAAGCACATTTGATTATACGTAAATATGATGGAAAAATAGAATTCGAAGAAAAGAAAAGAAAGATAAGTTAAAAAAAAAATTATATAAGATATTTAAATAAAATAAAAGATAACAAAATAACATAATTTTTTAATTATTTTTGCGGTCATGCTATACATTAATTTTTAAAATAAGTTTTAAGTATTTTGTTATTTTATAATATAAACTAAACAAACTAAAACAAAAAACATTAAATTAAATTAATTTAAATGCCTAATGACAACCGGAATACCAGGGTCCGAACCAACATTTAAAGTTGTAGGATATTATTTTATATAGATAATTAAATTAAAGTTTTTAATTGCGGTCACCCCTCGGCAGGGAATGTCAACCACTCCAAGTATATTTCTAACATGAAAATTAATGCTTCCCATAAAAAACCATCAGCCGTTCGGAGGCTGCTGTACGTCCCTCCATTTATTGGAAAAACATCAAGACGCAAAACCACGATTTGGAGGAGGAGCTCGGCCTAAAACCCGCTTCAGCGGTTACAAAGCCAATTATATTTATAAATGTAATTTAAATCAAATAAAAATAAATGAAATGAATAAATTAATAACAAAAAAAATTTAAATAACAAATATATGTCTTCAAAATAAAAAATTAAATCAAAAGTCTAAATGAAATAAAATGCGTGGAATAAAAGAGAATTTAAATAAATGAATAAAAAAATAATAAAATTAATGCAAATAAAATAAAAAGCAAATAACAAATTGAAATAAAATGAACCAAATAAGAATATAATGGAATAAAGTGAATTAGAATTTAAACTAAAAGAGGAAACATTTTAATTTAATCTACATTTAAAAATACGAGGGTAATTAAATTACATTAAATAAGTAAAAATAATTAAATAAAATTGATCAAGATCAAGCGAAGTAAAGTGTAAAAATAACAGAAAAAATACTCATTGCTTCTAAGAATTTTCTTAACTAATTATTAATAAATAAATAATTATTTTCTCAAACAAATAGTTAAAGGAATTTATAAACCTTATGCAAATGATATTCACCAGATACCTAGAAATTTTCTTCTTTTCATAGAATTAATATTTAATGCAAAACCCTGTATCACCCTTAAGTTCGCATACAAAAATATGCTACTTTTTTAATGTACATATGTATATATTTTGCTTTCTTCCTTGTTTTCTGGTCAAAAGACACTTTCACTTCACTGTGATTAAGACGCACATGACCAAAGGTTAATATGCATGAGTTTACCATTTTCACCCCAAAAACAAAAGAAACACCGAGAAACAGAGAAAAAAGTTAAATGGATATGAAAACATGTACATAAAGTAAAAACAAAATAAAAAAATGCAACACAGCAAACAAAAATGTAGTCATTTATGTAACAACATGGTAGAGATGGAATAGTGGGTGCGAAGAGAAAGTTTGACAGCAATGTGTCTACAGCTCAAAGGTTTTCCACACACACAAACACACACACACAAAACACAATAAACATACTTTATTTAGCAGCCAAAGGCAATGTGTGTTTGTTGTGACGTTGAAGCCTTAATGGAAAAACTTTTCCCTGCAAACTACAAGGAATGTGAACGCAGATCATTAAGTGTCGTATTTTTCTTCCAAGTTTCTCATAAACACACTTATTTATTTACAAAATATGTGGGAATATTACATTTTTATATACTCTATGTAAGTGCAACAGTTTTCTAGAGCTCTCCAATGCCTAAAAAAGTTCTTTTTTTTTACTAATAATCTTTTCGATATTAGTTTTTTTTAAGATTCTATGAGATTCGTGGTTTCAAATAAAAATATTTCGAAATATGCATTTGCAATGGAGATTTTATTGCTTAAAGTTACACCAATCAAATACCAAAAATGTTACCGTAAATATGAAAATTTATTTTTACTTACTTTGTAAAATAAATATAAAAAAATAATAATCAAAAACATCGAACTTTTGAGAAATGAGCTTAAACACGTGGACGTGAACAACCACATATATATACAGCCGAAATGTGTGGTGAGTACTTAAGAGAAAATAGCCTTTTGCATAAAATAAATAAAGAAATAATTCTATTTATGCACATAAGTAAATCTTTATACCAGTTTGTATACATTTATCGATAGAAGAGAAAAAGGACTCTTTGCTTACAACTTTTATTTAACCAAAAAAATCTATTTGCATTTGGAACAGGTAACCAAAATCAAATATACACAAAATATGTAAATTCTCATACTGATATGCTCACCCTACGCACATGTGTACATACATATTATGTACTTGTACGAGTGTATTCGTCTGCTTGTGTGTGGCTGTAAAATTTAAGGTGTTACAAATTGATGTATGAGTATGTATGTATTTGCGCGCCCATATATAATTCGAAATGGCAAATCCTCACACAAAAATTCAAAAAGCACATTTCCAAAACTTTTGCATTTGTTTAGCATAAATACATATATAAATATGGGTGAAAATGCTTGCTCAAATATAACATTTAATATATGCACATGGGTACATACATACATATATAATACTTGCAGACGTGTACTTTTACTCCACATATTGAGTTATTTGTTCAAGCATATATTTGTCTGTGATATGTCTTTTCATATGTGTGCATAAGTACAAACATACACGTATGTATGTGTATATCGTAAGCAACTTGCGAGACTTTGAAAACTTTCGCTCTTATCCACAGGTAAGCCGGCAGCCAGACTTCAACTGTGTCAAACGTCGCATCTCAGCAATAAGTCAGCATTCTTTTTGGCAGTAATCTCTCAATGTTTCAGTTTAAGAGATTTGTTTGTGTGACTACCTACATAAATGATATGCTTAAAAATACATACAGTATAGGTGTGTAGGTGGGTAATGGTTGAACCACGCATAAAATAACATTTGTAAAATTTAAAATCAGTAAATAAAGTCAGATATATATTTATATGCAAATCTCGCTGTTGTTTAATTATTATTGATTACTAAGATTTATTTTACAAACTTTCGGTTTACCGTTTGTTGTACAATCGAATATTTGAATGAATGAATTTTGTGTTCTTTGCCCTAAAATAATTTTTCCTTCGGTACAAACTTAGGTTAGTATGCTTTGTATTACATTTTATTTTATTTTCTTTTGTTTTAATTATTTTACTTTATCTGATTTTATTTTATTTAATTTTAGTTTTTTCGACTACTTTGATTTTATTTTAATTATATATATTTTGTTCCGTTTTTTATTTATTGCTACTTTATTTTGTTTTAGTCGATTTATTTTTAATATAATTTTATATATTTTCGAAAATTTTAATTTATATTATTACATTAAATTTAATAAGTTTAATTTAATTTAACTTGTTTAATTGAAATGTTTTATCTTTTTAATTTATCTTACTTATAATTTATCTTTTTTAATTGCTTTTGTCTTTTTACTTTATCTTACTTAATATTATTTTTTCATTTTAATTCATTTGATTTATTTTTTCGTTTTATTTATTTTTTTTTTTAATTATTTTTCAGATTATTTCGTTTTATTTTACTTCTCATTTTAATTTAGCATATATTTTGTCGTATTACATTTTAATGTAGCTCTTATAAATTAATTTCATTTAATTTGACTTTCTTATAAATTTTTCATTTTATTAAAATTTTTATAATTTATTTTATTTAAGTTAATTTAATTATATTTATTTTTTTTGTTTAGTTTTGTTTCATTTTATTTAGTTTATTTTAATAACTTTTAAATTTTTTTATTTGCTCTATTTTATTTTATTTTCAAATATTTTATTTTATTTCTTTTTTCATTCTCCGATCTTCTTGATTTAATTTTTTTTTACCAATCACAACAGTCTTTAAGTTCAAACAGACAAATTTGCACACATTGTTTTCCCCGAAGGTAACTGGAAATTATTTCCCAAATCTCTCTAACCTTATGTATAATAAAAGTTAATTTGCATCAGGCTTTTGCAACAAACAAAGTTAAATGAATAAAGAATCATCTACATTATTCCGTAAATATTTTAAAAAACCAACTAGCCCCTATTAAATCATGCTGACAACAACAGCAATGTGCAATAATTAGTACTCACCATTGCCAATACGGTGGTGAGAGCAATCAGTGTAACGGTTAAAAAGGCAAAGCACTGCGCCAGCAAACGATTGCTATGAATTCGTGAGGAGAATCGTTTGACGCCAATCGGTAGCTGAAAATATGTAATATAAACAAATTTATATATCAGCAGGTAAAATCAGATATTGGTACTTCAGTGCATATACAATAGAAATCTTTCGTATATACATAAGTATGTGCTACATACTCGTATGCACACAAAGGTAGGAGAGAAGTAATGAAAATTAATACAATCGTATTTCCAATGAAAAATCATCCGCCCACTAACGGTGATTGTTAACATATGAATATGCAAGTATATGCAAAAATGAGCATCACGTGATAATAAATAGTAAATGAGGATTTTGGAAAGGTTTCATCAATGCCACTTGACTGCACTGCCATGGCGTATACGTACTTTGATATTGATCACATGAGCGGCGACAAGCAACGAAATTAGCAGAACAATGGCAATTGTCGCACAGGAAGTGGTGACTGTGAGCAAATTTCTGTAAAAAGAGGAAGAAAGGAGAAACTTTTCAATGGATTTTTCATTGAAATAAATATATATAAGAAATTATCAAAATTTCAAAAAATTTATAAATCGTTCGTATGATTATTTAAACATTAATTGCGTTTAGAAAACTATATGTTCCAACATTTAAATATATCTAAAAACCCACGTTTGAAATACGGAAAATCTCATTATTGTTGTTGCAACCAGTACAATAAAACTGCAGTAGAAATAAACGCCCAGCATGCGATCAGGTTCCGAGCCATACTAAAGAGCGAACGAAACAAAGGGAAATAAAGGAAATAAATATATATTATGTACACATAATCTATATATATATATATATATACATGTATATATCTTCAATATATCGCTCATTTTTATGTTCAACTTGTTTTTTTACTCCTTTCATTTCCCAAATAAACATCATTTCTAAGATTGTCTTTTAATTTTATTTTCACACAACTCACCTTCTTCTCAAGCGCTTGGTCCTTGAAGGACAAAAACAGCGACTGACAATGCTCAGCACGCAAATGGTCAATGCTACGCGCATCAATGGCACGCATCAAGTACTCATTCACTTCATCCTCGGGATCCTTAGCACCCTCCGAGCTATCGCCAAATCCAAATCTGTGAAGATTTATCAAAATTTTCTCACACTTTGCAATAATAAAGAGATATAAATGGATGCTGAGATTTTTTATAAACAAAATAAAACCAAATGCAATAAAATAAAAGAAAACGAGACAAAATAAAAGGAAAAAAAAATCAGCTTCCCTGCATTAGTTGTTGGCCATATCACTCCCACTAATAGTACGGCTGTTACTTTTAGTACTACAGTTCTCAGTAGTGTAAAAAAATTAAATGATTTAAGTAAATAACGGTAAGCGAAATAAGTTAAGATAAAATATTAAATTAATTTAATTTAATTAAAATAAAATAAATTTAAAAAAGCTTGCCATGCCTACTAGTACATAAATACATATATAATTGTGTTAGATTTGTATGTGTTTCAACTCACTTTGAGGTATTCTTTTGTGCACTGCCATGCCCCATCATTCGCAGTTCCTTGGAAATATTGCCATTCACCTGCAGTCTGTTGCGTGATTTCTTGTGCTATAAGCGCGCACACATAACAGCATGTGAGATTGAAAATAATAAAAAAAACGAAATGTTTTTTACTCGAAAGATATACACTCAGCTCAAGTTTCCTGCGTGGTACAATTGCTTTGGCTATTTATATATTGTAGATGTATCTAAGCATTTCCTCTTCTCCTTATTCTATTTCCTTTGTTGTTTTATATATTTATTGCATGTATTTTATTGCCTTCTTACGCTTTGCATAACTAGTTGCACGCATACACACATGAATATTTATTTGCTTTTAACATCAATTTATTTCTGCTCATAAGCGTGCGTGTGTGTATGTATAAGCCAGTCGTGCGTATGGAACCGTGCCTCATGCCATGTCGTACGTGTATGTCAGTCTTTGTCAGCACAATGTCCAATAACTATATATTTATATAATTGCTTGGAGGTATGCTTTTCTCATACTACCACGCCTACATATGCGTCCGCCCTTGTATACATATGTTAGCCCACACTTACCGGCCGATAAATATCACCTGGCACTATGAGATAAGTTTCGATTTGATGATCCTTCAGGTACGAGTTGCGCTCAGCGCCTTTGCCCACCTCCACTTCGTAATCACCATCCAAACACTTGAGCGTCTCCTTGGTGATGTGCACACGCCTTTTAGAGTGCGTGTGAGTGTGTGCAGATTTTTGAGAGAGTTGAGAAGATTGCAATAGAAAAAATAAAATATAATAATAATATATTAATAAGAAAATTGCCTCAATTCTAGTAAATTGAATACATAAATAAATTTGCATATTTTACGATTATTTATATATGTATATATATATATATGCATGTACATATTTACATCTAAAAATATGTATAAATATACGAGATATAAATTGAATTTCGAAATTTTGATGACCTTCCACGAAAAAATAATGTCCTTTTCTAATTTGTACTCATATGTATTTATTTGTGGGTATATTTATTTCCAAGTGGGGTCTGCTAGTTAAGATAGTGTAGATGAGGAAGTTTTGAAACAAAATTATGGATTCCAATGTCACTTTTTTTTTATTTGGATTGAAAGTGAATTGAAGAGTGAATGTCAATTTCTAAATGAGTTTTATTTAATTTATATGCATCAGATGACCATAAACCTTGCTTATCCACAGACATCAAGGACATAAATTAATTTAGTCGCTTCTGAAGGCAGTAGTTTCGCCTTAGAGCGAAAGTTTTTCTGCTCTTTACTTGGTCTTAAATAGTTACGGACTTCTGTTTCTCAAGTAATCGATTTTGTCTCTCAAGAGAATCGAAAATGGGAGAGTAGCTGAATAAGAACGAATAAAAAGCTGTGGGACATGCCTGCACTCAGCCGGATGTCAGAGCTGTTTACAAAAAATAAAAAAATGAAGTTCATCTCTCTCCCTGCTACCTTTCCAGAGCGCAGGGCAAGAGATAATCGCCGCCTCTAAAAAAAAAGTGTTTGTTTAAAGTAGTATCCCGCCAGCTCTTAATTCTTGTTATATTTTTTAGTAGAGTAGATATGTCCACGACATTTGCTGATAACTAAGTACGGCGTAATAACTTTATGCAGAGGCTACTTCGTACTTCAGCAGTCGACTCATGGCTCTTGTATGTGTGTATATTATGTTAGTTTGATGTGACTTCCGATGTCTCAAATGCATTTGGACTTGCTGGACACTCAAAGCGGACGTGTTCCACTATTTCCACAAATTTCTGCCTAAAATCCACCCACTCTTCCCGTGGTAAAAACTGTGTAAGTTTAACATCATAAGTTTGCTCGTTCGGAAAGTATATTCGCCTCAGGAAGCACCTTGAGCACCTTTCATCACGATACTCCGAGCACTCTTACAGATCTTCTCTAAACAGCTTTAGATTCCGAATTTTTTTTTTAGACCTTATAAATTCTTACAGTCGGTGCAGAAGTAAATTTTTTCGTAGATAAATCTGTAGTGACGCTACTTTTACAACACAGCAGTCAACAACCTTTTTTTTTGCCATGTAGGAAGACAACCAGTGGTTCGGAAAACAAAGATAACCTGACAGTCTAATTTTCACAAAAATAAAGGAATAAAAACAAAGAAGGATTCTCTGCTCCAAGTGGGCTTAAAACACTGTCCAAGTCCTTTTCTTTGCTTCGAGATACTCTCTATAAGGAACTCGGCCGAGGTACTCTTTGCTACACTGCTTTTCCAATTTCAAAATACTCGGAGAATCAGCAAAGCTCATTATGATAGAACTTTATTGGAATTTATTAATTTATTCCAGCTCACGTCCTCAGTGCTGCTACTAGAATACACTCTAACATTTATGACGGTAATATCCGTTGAACATAAATATCAAAATAAGCTCAGTTAAAACCACAGTAAAGAGTGAAAGCCGAAAGCAATTAACCACAGATTTCCAAGAAAATATAAACACAAAACAATATTTCTGTCACAGTAATAGATAACCACCCTCTCTCTCTCTCCCTCTCTCTATCTTCTAGCACTCTTTCACCGCTGTTGGTCGGTCGGTCAAAGTTCATACAACCCGATTGCGATTTCATTTGAGTATGTTTTTTGCAAACAAACAGAAGTGACTAAGCAACAACCGCAAAACTATATTTTCATAGTCATGAGAGATATCTCTGCGGTTAATAATATAATATATAAATGCCTGTATTTATATGAGTCCTTGCTCATACTCTCAACTATTAGAAAAACATTTTTGTTTGTAAAAATGTTAATTGGTTTAAAGAAATACTCTAATAAGATTTAATTAATGTTATTTGAGATTTTAAAGATTTGATTTGATAAATGAAAAGAAACTATTTTTACTACAAAGTGTTTTTTAAATGTTTGGCTTCAAATGAGGCAATAGTTTTTTTTTCATAGATTTTACCTAATTTATATTAATTTTGGTTTGCCCGAATGAGTGCATCCGCCATCAGGCACATCTACTTTAGGGAAGGATCTTGGCTTGCAGTCGTACAAAGTCCAACTCATGCAAGCATTGAAGCCGAACGTTCGGTGAATGGACCCAAAACGAGACGGCCATTGATCACGATTTTCACAAGAAAATTTGTTTCAGCAATTAAGCTTAACTTTGATTAAAGGGGTAGGTTGAAAAATAAAATTTGTCGCATTTGTAATAATGATAACCTACAAGTCATGGTTGGGTTGAGACGCCGCACCGTTACTTTTTCAAAAAGCTACGGTTAATTGAGCTAAACGATCGACGACTTGGAAGAGGCTTTTCGGCGGGTTATTGTTGAAAGTCTTGCTGTAAATGCTTTTGGCAGTTAAATTTTTTTCGTGAGCTGGACTTATTTCCATGGAATATTCATGAGAAGACTCATTCATTTAGCTTGCAGATAGCTCAGTTTTACAATCACACTCAAAGGAGACGCTACACTCTAACGAGTAGGCGATTCTGAAATCGGTTTTTACCTTTAGTTAAGAATTTGGACAATTTTTACATAACTTTTCAGTAAAAAAATAATATTAATTTATGTGAAAGAAATGATACATTTGTAAAATTAGAATTAAAATTAGGTCAGAACATTATCCCTTATGTGTCTCCAAAGTCATATTGCTATTAACTAATACTAAAATAGTTCTGGCTGAAAACAAAAAACGCGCTTTAGAGTAAAATTATAGTCAAAACTCTGAGTCACGATGAGATGTTTATAAGGAGAAGACATCTTTCATCCATTTTCCTTACTCTTATGCTACCCACGTCAACTGTCAATCAGATTTGTGCGGCTCTCTTAATTTGTTTTTTTTTGCTTCCTATGTTACTCAAATTCCCATAAGCATACCCATACATATAAACATGTCAAAATTATTTAAGAAAAATCCATTTCCATTCTATTCTTATATTTTTCATAGCCTGAAAAAATATTACATTTTCGTTATAACACGTATCAAAAGCTTTTCCTAACTTTTGAATTGACATGTAAAATGCCTTAGCCAAACGAAAATAAATTAATACTTGTGTTCATATGAATATATACATATATAAGGTTTCATATCGAAATTATGCTGAGTTACGTTATTGCAATTGCTAATCAGACCAAAAACAGTTGAATATTTTTTTTCAAAATTTTGTCGCAAATTATACAATTTATAATGTCCTTAGTATGTATTTTCTTCAAAAGAAATATATAATTTCAGTTTCATTTAATACAAATTTAAAATTATCTGACAGAATCAACGTAGAGCAGTGATAACGATTTGTCAACATTTCAGCTATTCTAAGGAGTAAGAAACCTATGCTTGACCACCCTAGTGTGCGATAATTAAGACAAATGATTATCAAAGCCGACAAATATAAGCAAAATGTAATTTAATGTTTTACTAAATAAAATTCACTTTATTGCTGAACAAATCCTTTGTGTCTGCATTTCCAACGAAGGAATCTTTTCTGCGACACAAGATAAAAAGGCGAAACTAATTTAAAACTATTTGACCGAAATCAAAAGAAAGAGAAGTGGCTCCAACTAGTTGCAAACTCTAATCGAATTAAAATAGCTTTTCTTTCGCATAACATTTTAGCTCACCAACTTTTAGTTTCGCATTGGCACAGTGGGCATTTATTGCAGAAAAATTGGTGTTGAGAAATTAATTACAAAACGAAGATTCGATGGTCTATGTTAGGTTAGGTTGAGTGAGCTTAAGTTACGAGAAATTAGGTTGAGCGAACTAGAATGATTGAGGTTATGTTAAGCGATGTTGAGTTGGGCGAGCTTAGTTTATGTTAGGTGAGGTTTCGTTGGGTCGGGTTAGGTTGAGTTAGATTAACTGAGTTTAAGTTAAGTGGATTTAGGTTCTACATTTAAATTCATGATTTTTATCCTTGCAATTCCAACGAATTTTCAAATTCTCGAAGTTCATATAAAGATAATCCCACCGGGCGCAGATGGATAGCGTCAGAATTCAAATAGTTATTGTGCCTGAAACATATGCTTGTGCTCATTCCAAAAGCGCAGTTCATACACCGTAACCTCGTGAAAGCAACATGGTATATAAGAAGCTATATGATATCAGCCCCGAACCAAGATGTTTCATATAGTAATAGAGAAAGTGAAGACTGACGGAAATTGGGATATTCCCAGTATTCGAACCGTCTTAGTATACGACTTTTCTGAGTCTATGGAGACTCTAGCAGCGGCAAACCTCGCAGAATTTACCATCCACTACCGAAGCTGAGGACGTATGCAAAGTGTAAAGAAAAGAATTTTAGAGTTTTTTAGGAAATATAGTGCACGGTGTGCTTCTCCCCATCTGATTCCCCTTGCTCTTCCACAGTTTTATTTACTACTCGAACTGTGGAGATAATAAAATTCCCACTGTCCACGACAATTGTCTTCAACTTAAATAGCACACCACAACCCACTGTATGTTACCGCAACCGTTATCTAAAGCAACCACACACACCATCACACCCACAAATACATAAAAAATCAAAAACATGGATAAAAAAATTAAAGTTAAAAAGGAAAATTTAATCGCTGCTGTGCCAATTTCGCTACAAAAACCCCCCGTGAGGACACACAAGTTACATAAAAGAAGGACCGAAGCACGAATGGCGGGCGACAGAGTTGGTGAATGACTGCTTGAGACACCACGCTGAGGGTGGGCAGCGGGGAAGTGGCATGAAATCGC